AGTCCTAGTGAAATGAAATGGCTCAGCAATATGCCAGAGAAGCACAAGAACTCCCCCAAGGGATCGTGTGGGATTGCAAGACGAAAGTGGGTAAAATCTTGGATATCAACAGTGATCTGACCTAAGATGAAATCAGAGAAGTCTCTCTCCTGTCCAGCTGATTTTCTGCCCTAGTAAGATTACTGTCAGAGGTTCTGATTTTGTAGATACCTTTCACTTCTGTTTACAACTGTTCAAGAGTACTTTTGCAGTACATCATCTTATTTCACCCTGAGATCATACAGGAGTCCAGACCTAAGAAATTTTTACCAAAAATTTTCTCTATTCAACCCTTTTGCAGGACACAGGCTGCTTATTTCTCTTAATAGCCTAAGCATTGTTACATTTCTTTTGTCCTTTTCTGAGGTCCAGCAGTACAAGATGTGATATCCAACTAAAAACTTGCCTCAAGAAGGGCAAAATTCTCCTTCCTTGTCCACTTTGATGAATCATGAGCATATTTCATGTGAACGTATCTTGAGATATATATAATGAATATTCTATATCAATCTGTTCATTATATCTGTTCATCTATATGTTAGTGTGACATATAAGTACTATTTTTGTGCTAGTCACAAAATGGGTTTAATAGTAACGCTTCTTGGACTGACCATGGCTTTGGAGTGACCATTTGCCAAAATCATATCTGTAAGCAAACCAGAAACCACAGAGCAAAAGAGCTTGTTTCTAGAAAAGAATGAATGGAATTAAGAGTTGTCCAGGCTGTAGAGTTAAGATCTCCAGCCTGTGTAAGTAGGTTGTCACAGAAAAAGTATAAAATTCCACTAATTGTGGAGGTAAAGATAAATTAAAAAGTAATTCTGCTTTACAGCTTAGGCATACAATCATAAAACTTCTTTTTAGTTTGTTCCATGTTGTGTGATACAAGTGATAGGTAACTTTCAGATAACTTATTGCTAAAGAGTTGATCACATTTACTAGTATTAGCAAACAAATTTTTGATGCTGATTTCCAAGTCTGAGTTTTATCTAAAAATCTAGAAATGGTGATTCTCAAACTTCATTTTATATACTGGAAAAGATACGGCTGATCTCAGTTTTTCTCCCTTCTACAAAAAGCAGAATCAACTGGCTGGCTGCAATTCTGGGCCTACAGAACACACAGGAAGGATCTTCTGCTGTGCCTACTTGTCACAAGGACTATAGAAATCACAGTGGCTTTTCTAACACAACCTCTGCACATTCATATGGTTAAAGGTAGATTCAAATGCTACTCAACTGGAAAATGCAGGTTTCTGGCTTCAATTTTTTGTTTCAGATTGTTGTTCATGCAGTAAATTATTGAAATACTTTCTGTGTTCAGCAGAAATGCTGACATTGCACAGAGCAAAAATACAATACGTTCAAGCAGCAGGGAACACAAAATACTTCCTTTACCTGAACTATCCAGAGATCTAGAGCTGATCTGAAGAATGGAGATAAATAACTGGCTTCTATATAGAGGAAACAGCTAACAAGGCCAGTATTTAAAGACACTAGGTCTCTGCTAGATTCATATCAGAGATCTGTATACTGATTCTATATATTAATATAGAAACAGAAAATAAATTATAGATAATATAAAACTATCTTCAAAAGAGAGATGAAAAATTATGAAAGTGTAACTTGTTTGTTAATATTTAAAGAGGATTTAACACTTGTGTTTATCTTCCTTACTACATTTTTAATTCCTACCTTGTTACAATGGACTTCCAGCTTTTGCTGTCAGCTCCATCAAGTTGGCTCTCAGCCAAATTTAGCTTCTTAATGGTTTCCTCCAGCTGTACAGTTAACTTTTCATTTAATATCTCCAAGTTATTCTTCACTATTCGTAGCTTCTCTCCACTGTCAGCTTCCTGTTGTTCAGTAAAACCAAATGTTTATAGAATACTTAACCTCACATGAAACACAGTATTATCTAAAATGATGGTGACATAGACTGATTTAGAGGAAAACTGCATCCAAGATTACTAGCACTTCAATTTCTTAATTCTGTCTTGCCCTAGTCCTTGGATATCTCTTCTCTACATATAATGAAAAAATCTGTCATAGCAACATCAGTGCTATATCAACCATTAAAAAAAGCCCAAACAAACCAACCATGTATTTATATACTTGCCACAACCAGTGGACTAAAGGGATGCATTATAATGACCGTACCTTTTTCAGTTCTTTACGCAGTCTTTCGTTTTCAGCAATGACTTTTTCCATTCCTTTGGTTTTAGATTCAAAACGCATACTCAGCTGGTCCCCCAGATCACGTTTCATTTTTTCCATTTCAGACTAAATATCAAACAGTTTGTTAAAGCACGTATACATTGCTTAGTAGAAAATTTCAGATTTCAATTTTTAAAACACAGCATAGTTACAGCTACTTAGCACAATAAACATAACATTTCGTCAAATAATTAAATATATCCTTAAGGTACAACATACCTTATTCGTATGTTATGCTAAAATTAAGTTCTGCTCTTCTGTTCTATGTTTCATATTTTTAAAACACTTGTGCCAATCAATATCAACAATAGCCTTGCTGCTCCATTTTTTTTACTAACTTGCATATAAACTGTGACCTAAATATAGTCACTGGAGATAATTCAGTACCTTTAGCCCCTCATTTTCTTGTTCAAGACCAAGTAATTTCTCATTTGAAACCACAGCTGGTGCTTTCTTCAGTTCTTCATTTTCTCTTTGGAGTCTCTCTACAACCTTTTTCATCAAACCAATTGTTTTTTCCAATTCTGGGACTGTCTTTCCACTTCTACCAGCCTATAGAGAGGGGGGGAAAAAAAGTAAAAGTAAGCAAATAGTTCATCTTAACATTCTAAGATACTCTAAATCTTACTTTATTGCTTATTTTCCCATTGCAACTCATAAAAAAATGATGCATTATTTTGGTATAACTTGAACCCTAGAATTCCTTGCATGCTTAGTTCCCCAAAATGTCTAATAATATATTCACCCCCAAAGTCAACGTATCAGCTCCTGCATTTTCTATGTTACCCAAGAAAGCTGCCATTAAGTCTCAAAATCTGCTGTATTTTATGAACTAAACTGAAACATTAGAAAAATAAATCAAAGATCTACTTAATTTTTAGCTTTTCTTGTAGACCAATTCCCCAGTCCAACAGACTGTGCAATTGTTTAAATGCTAATACTGTTGGGAGGACTGGAGGAGAAGAATGGCTGGGAGCTTGAGGGAGGAAAAGAGGGCAACCCTCTTTTTTTTTTAGCAACCCTAGTTCTGCTGAGTTAAAGTCACAGGAGAACTACATTTTAAAGCATAGATCTCCCTTTCCAAAGGCATATATTCTTCTTGAAGGATGATAAATAAATAAATGTGGGGGAAAATCTTGTAATTTCTCCATTTTTCTTGTTTCACTACATTAATTGCTGAGTTAGAAAAGCTGTTAAAGAGTCTTCAAAATCATTTATTTTTTCATCATTTTTGTAGTGATTTCCTCAGCAATAATAATTTAAAGATGCTAACTCTAGTTCCAGGCCCATGAGGTACCTCCTTTTCTTTCTAAGAAAGGAGCATAGTACAGTGTAAAATAGGGAATATTTTACTCCCTGGAGCTCCACATAAATCTATATAGCAACCAAGTCTCAGAAGTAAAAATCACTTATTCTTCTCTAAAATAATTGGAAGGATTAGGAGGTTTGCGTTGGTACACAACAGAGTTAAAGAAAAACCTGTCACATCTTGGTGCCTGAAAAGGAAAGAAAAGAACAAAATTTGCTGCCTTCTCAGAACCCTTGCATACAACAGTTTCATTGCCTTGTCCAAAAATTACCACTGCACAAGAAGAAAAAATAAACAAGCAGTTCACACAAGGTTTGAGTAAAAGAATGGAAAATTATCTTTTCCAGGTACTCAGAAGCAGAACTCATTCTCCTTTTATACTGAAAGAGCTACAAAGGCACTGAAGAGCTTTTAATTAAGTCAGCTTCCTTTAAAAGGTCATACAAATAGTCTGACAAGTTAGGGGCAAGAAACATATTGGGCACTGCTGAAGACTTTTTTTCCTTTAACTTCTGAAATATTGTTCTATTAAAGTAGTTAACAGTAGCTGGAGTAAAATTTAACTGTGTCATCTTGTGTAGTACAACAAACAAAAACCTTCACTAGCAATAACTTACACTTTGTAACATCTACATCAAGTAAAATAATTTAAATAAATACACTAATATAATTTTCATTATTACAGCTGTAACTGAAATTTATTGTATAAATATGTTTCTGAAGATAACTAATCCAAGTGATAAAATAAGGCCATGATAGTGTATATATTTAAGTGTAGTTGTAGTCCTTCTAATGGTCCTGTTAACTTAATTTCATTAATTTATTATAGCAGTTTATCAATAAAATAAACAAGAACAATTAATATTTGCTTTTGTTTGATTCCAAGTAATTTTGCTTCAATAAAACTTTGAGCTTTTTCTTTTCATTCTCATTTAATTATGATGAAAATGCTGATACAATACTCACCCCTCTAACGCTGCCCAGCTTTCGTTCAACATCTGCTTTCTCTTTTTTGAGAAGTTCACACATTTCTTTTAAGTCATCTACTTGGTCCTACCAAAAAAAAAAAAAAAAAAAGGCAATAAGCAATTTAATTAGATCTCAAATTGACGTGAACAGTTGGTGAACAAAATTACAATTGGTATTTCAACTGGTTAACTTTGAAAAATTTAAGAGAAAGCACTTTCCCATATTAATGACATTTTCTATCATTTCCACCAGCAATTCAACCTTCTCAACTTCTGTAAAAACATGAAAAACTTACAGTACGTACAGAAAAAATATCTGTTTCTTTTTAAACAATTCCCTAACCTGTGTCAGAATAAAGAGGACTAAAGGTAAAAAGATGTTACCTTTAGTCTTGGCAAATCTTTATTGGCCTGCTCTAGCTGGAATCTTAGCTCAACATTTTCAGATGACAATCTTAGATTTTCCTTTAAAACTTCTTGTTCTCTTCGATACTGATCACTTGACCCTATTCCTGATGTCTTGAGAAAACAGAAGGGAAAAAAATTATTAAGTGGTAATGCACTAATTCAATACAACTATCAGTTGTAGCTGATTAAGAGCAACAGATAATTAGTATTTTTCACAGAAATAAAACAAGATAGTATTATCACCAGTTTTGATCTAATCTACTTTAACACCTCTTACATTTCCTAAACTTGCTTAACTGTTAAGGGAATTTTACAAATCTGTATAAACCAGTAAAAATTTCGTCAAACCAAAATTAACTCTCAAACTATTGGGTAGAAATAAATTCCAAAATCTAAAAGACAAAAAAGCTACTGAGTGTAGTAAGTTGTGACACTGTTTCTGGGAACAGCATCTAATTTTAAGGATATATTCTGATAGTTTTTTAAATAGTAAATATGTCATAAGACATTTCAGTTATGTCAAAGAGATCACAGATCAAGTCAGGAACAGTAGTATGTAACTCTTGTTCTTAGTTTGTTATTTCCTACAATCTTAAGTCTCTATCCATGGAGGCTAGTAATTTCTATTACATGAAGAGTGCTTTGCATGTTTTATATTGCCAATTCAAATCATAACTATACGGTAAATTATTTTGCCTGACTAGTAAAGAGTAAAACCTTTTAATGATATAATAATCAGTGTTTTTCACTTATGTAATTATGGAATTAACGTTATGATTCATTACTTTACCACTAGGAATAAAGTATTTGCTTCAATAAAGCACATTTTTTAGTATAAGTTTAAGTAAGAAGTAAGTAAATGTAAGTAAGAAGATATCATAAGTCTCTTAAAGAACGAAGATCATCAGCTAGCTGCATGTATCATTGAGGTTTTTTGTAAACTCTCTGGATCAAAATTTTAGTATTGACAGTAGCTTACTTGTGAGTTGTCATGCATGCCTATCACGAAAGTACAAGGTTTGCTTTATGGACTAGATGACTAGACTTCAATATCCCTGCAGACCATGCATAGGAGAGCATGGCTTTATCAAAATCAAACTATTCTATTTCTTTATCATTTATACTGAAGAAATGCTAGGGGGACACTACAGTATCAAACCTTGGGCATTTCACACAATTCTGAGGTTGTTTCAACCCTTTCTGTACAGCTTTGGTAATTTTCATGTTTATTCTCTGCAGTGTGTTGATTCATTTCATTATTCACATTTATTTTGTCTGCTTCACAGTCATTAGCTTGAGTAGAAAGTTCCCCCGGATCAGACTGATTGCAGCTCATTCTGTCAGTATCAGGCTCTTCTCCACCTTCTTCTTCATCCACATTTGATCGTTTGAAGATTTCTTGCTTGCTCTCCTCTTCACATTCCTCATTAACTTTTCCTTTTTCAGGCTGGGTTATATTTTCTTCTTTTTCACTGCAGTTTTCTTTATCATATTCAGCTATATTTTTGTTTTCCAATACTGCTGTAGAAAAATCTGTGTCCTTCCATTTCTCACTATCTTCAGGATGCTGTTCAGGAGACACTTCTGTGCTTGCATCTGCAGTAGCCTCCTGGCCTTTGTTATGCATGATGCAGGTTTGTGTGTGTGCTTCCCCATCTATTTCATTGCCATCAGTAATGCTATTATTAGCCTGATGTTTCATTTCATCCCTACTCGAAACAGATTTCTTTTGAAGGAAATTCAGATACTTTTGTTTACTGACAGTGATAGGAACAGATTCGGTCACTTTAGTCTGGTCACATCTACTCTGATTCAAGTTGAAGATAGAGTGAAGCATGAAAGAAAAGCAGAACACAGTAAAATAAAACAGGAAATAAAGAAAACTAGAATGTATTGTTAAGTCTATTCTTGAAAGATTAAGGTAACTTAATAATGCAAAGCTTGCAATATAATGAACCTTGTAAAAATCAAAGCACAACAAAAACACCTAATGTAACTGAAATGCAGCTCAGTATTTCCCCAAATTCTGTGCATCCTAAATTTTCAATCAATATGTAATATAAAAGTATTCTCTCAGTTGCAGACTGATATATTTAAAAATACATTTTTCCTTATTTCTCCACATATATTAGAATACTGAATATTTCAGTGTCTACCCATAGAACACAGAAACTATAAGTTTTGCGGGTTGGGGGATTTTTTTAGGTTTCTTTTGTTGTTTTACAACCACTAAAAGCTGAGTATTTCGTATCATGTTCTAGAATACTGTCATTTGAATAAAACCACCTAAATGACACAGAATACCAAATAGATAACAAATATTTTTGATAAGTTGGTGCATTTCCTCTAGGTAATATGGTTATATTATTAACTTACTGAGGCTCTCGAAAATGTCTCTCTCGAATATTGTCTCTGCAATGCATGAAGCTTTTCCTGGAGGTATAGGTTTTTGAAATGTAAATCTTCTACAACAGAATCTCTTGGGATTGCTTGCAGTGTTCTACATCGAAAAACAAGTCAAGGCAAAACAAACAAACAGCTATTACTGCAGAAAAACATCCCTTAAGGTAAAAACACCATGAACTTCTGGATTTCTACGTTGGATTTTCCAGTATTACTGAGCTAGTTATTCTACATCAATGTTAGCCATATAAACTATTTGAACTAACACCTGTGAATGGACAATACATACATGTCCAGCCTGTTCTACTCAGATACATTATCCACTGTGATAGTGAATATGCTGATTAAGAATACACTCCCTAAGTGCACTTAGCAGTTTCAGTAACTTCCACCAACTCTAAACTGTACTTATAATTTTACACAGTAGGAGCCGTATGTTTTTCACATTATTTAGCTTTTTAGAATAATGAACAAATGCTGCATATTCTCTTAACATGCACACCTGCTCCCAAATAGTTTTAAGTTTGCTCATCACAGACTCAAAGAATAATTTTTTTAATTCCTGTCTGGTTTTTTTCCTTACTGAATTAGTTGACCTCTTAGAGACCATCTCATTCCACACATTTTTTATTAATTTAGATTTTTTTCGCTTTTGATAGATTCTTTTAAAAAGACTCTCACCTCAAGTGTGCAACTTCATTTTCTAACTCTAGATTCTGTTTTCTTAGTTCTTCCACTTCTTTTTCAGTTTCTGAGGCTCTTACTCCAACAACACGGTCAACAGTGACACCAGTAGTTTTCAGTTTCTTCTGCAGAGCAATTTTCTCTTTTTCAGTCCTGAAACATCCAGTAAACTTACATTTAAAAGTTTATTTGCTAACTTGCTTTCTTTAGGAGAAAATATTTCCTGTCTTAAAGAATCTACATTTGCAATTTGTTTGCTCAGCGAACCATACCCCCTTTTCTTTTTAACAAGGTCACCATGGAGATACTAAAAAAACGTGACCTAAACCTGAAAAAAACAATGAACATCAAGTCAGTATCATGCATGTCATAAACCACTTGTTGGTTTTGTCTTTGTTCACTGTGAAATTCATGCAAGACTTGCTAAGAATAAATGCTATTTTGAAGCAGTTTCAATCCACCATTTAACAACAGCTACAATTACTATCACAGTTTTCTTTCTCTTCTGCATCTTTTGTCAGTAAAACCCTGCTATTACTGTACCGAAGTAAATATAAAACCTGCAGAGGGTTTGCACATATGGTTGATTTTTTTAAAAGGCTTCCATCTCATAAACCTAGAACAGTCACTACTGCAGTAGCACTACATGTAACAGTAGCACGGCATTCAGTCCTCATCATGGCTGGGCTTCCTGAACGAAGATTTGGGGAGGGCTCTACCCATGTTTGTTACAAGCGCGTTGGTGGCTAAAAAGGCCAATACAAGACAGGCACGTCCGGTTGCAAAAGGCACAGCAGAAAGACTCCTTAGGTGGTATATTCTGCAAGGCACGATTCTTTCTGCGTTGTCTTTTCTCCTCGAGAGTGATTCTAGCAGCCTGATTAAATAACACAGAGGTGAGAAACAGCCTGTCTTCCTAAAACTGTTATTTGCTTTATGAGAATAACAGAATCCTAAGACAGGAAGCATAATAAAGGACTTAAATTAATTTTATTTTGATACAGTTTTTTCTAATAAAGGTTGTTGGCTTCTACAAGTGAAATGATATTAGAGGAGTAAGTAGTCTGCTGCTTGAAAATTAACTAATCCTTTTAATCTCAATAGCAATGTCAAATTCTCACCATCAATCTTATAAACACAACAAACTGCAATAATTATTACGTGAAAATCATATTTAGATTTCCCTTATGTCATCATTTTGTAGCTGAATCGATTAAAACCAACTCACTTTGTATAAATTTCCTTCAATGTATTTAGCTGTTTGGATAAAGCATCTGCCTCTTTTTCCTTTTCCCTTAGTTTGTTTCGCAGTCCTTCCATTCTGATTTGCCATTTTTTACCTTCTTCCCATCTAATTATTTCCTCCTTGGGGGTCTGTGAAGAACATAAGCAAATTATGTATATCCTTTTGAGTTTTTTTCTTGAAGTAAAACAAGAAAACACATTAGAAAACTAAATAATATATTCTTCATTTATCAATTTAAACCAGGAAGCCATAGCAGGCATGTATGATTTACCACAGCTAAATAGCAGGTTTGGCTGGATATGCTGTGTAAAGTATAAAAAGGTAATACAGTTTAATGCTGTTACCAAATTCTTCCTTAGCTTTTAATAGTCATTTTACAAAAAAAGGAGTGACACCTTTTATGAAATTAGAGGTGCCAGTGCAATCTATCCATTTACTTTGAATTACACATTAGACAGATTTAAGAAAAAGCAGGGGTTTTTCTCTGCCTATTTAAAACATTATCTGTCTTCTGCAGCTCTCCAGGGGCTTATTTAAAACATTATCTGTCTTCTGCACAGCTTTTTTTCCTATGAGAAATGGAATCTCTACTCAGAGTTAACAATTCAGTAACTATAAATTATACATTGGTTAAAACCAGTACCTATGGCATTGCAAACGGCTACTGAAAGATCACAGTCAATATTCCTGTAAGCAATTTTTGGTTTGGGGTTTTGTTTGTTTGTTTATTTTTAATTGGAATTTTCCCTTCCCCAGTTATCCCCTGTACTTCGTTGTCTGTCTTTTTTCTAAACAGTTACTGCTACTAAGGAAAGGAAGGAAAGGAAAATCTCAGAAAACAGGAAAAATACATGCTAAGTGTGAGAAAAATACCTCTAGACACAAAGCAACAGGTATTTAAAACATTTCAAATTCAGTGGATCCATAAGTCCAGTCCTAGAATAATACTTAATATCATAACTAGTCTGAATGTCATTATACAAGCATGCTGTAATATTCCAGTATACTTTATGATTAGTATGAGAAGCTGCTAATTAGTTACCGAAGTAGTAACAAGGAAAACACCAAACAACTGGTAAATTAACACAACTCCAATTGCTCAGAACCTCTTGTATGTGGAGATCACTACTGTGAAGGATAATCACCTATAGAGATATCATCCCTTTTAGGATTCACTCTTTTGCTCCTAATTACTTTGTGTTTTTACCATTGCACCGATTTCACAGAGGCACATTTGACAGCACTTACGTAATAAATTTAACTGCTACCTACAAAATCTTAGTTTTCTAAGATTTTTAATGGATCTTTAATTCTACAAAAAAGGCAGGAAAACATTAATATACCAGTACTAAGTAACAAGAGCAGTAACAAAGACCATGGGAAACATGAAGAAGTTGCAGCCATGAAACTGCTTTTCTTCTGGTCAAGTTTGGTTGGTTGGTTTTAGAAGCAACTGGGAGAGTAGAACTGCCTTGATCTAGGCTGATGATGTCTTCAATGCAACGATATAAATATCACATACCTTGTCTTCTCTTACACCTTTTTTTTCTGTTTCTTCACACTTTGTCTCAAGATCACTCTCCAACTTTTTAATTTTTTTCTGAAGCACATCTATCAGATTTTGTTCATCAACTTTGCTCTGAAAAATTACAAATTTTTACAAACTTCAAGTTTAGTGATTGCTACCTAAGTTGTTTTTTTCTCAAGTAAAAAAATAAGGATTTTAATTCCAAGTTCGTAGAATTTGTTTAGAACCTCAATGATGTTTTTAAAATTATCTTTAAAGTATTATAGTATTGGAACAAAACTTTGCACTCTGAACTGAATAATCAGCAGCAGGTATAAGTCTTAAAAAATAATTAGATGATTCTCCTGTAAGCCAAAAAGACTTAATCTTTTCCCCCCAAACCAGCACATCTATACAGAAACTGGACCAACATGAAACAGTTTGAAAAATCACTTCTACCTGAATGCTACTGCTCAGTCTCCTAATACGGTTCTTCAGTTCTTCATTTTCTTTTTCCATTTCAGTTTTTTCTCTCGATATTTTAGCAAATGCTTTTTGTTTCCTCTGAAGTTCTTGGTTCAACTCATCCCTTTCATCAGACAAAGAAGTTTCCTTGGTTTTACTTATTTTAAGGTTGTCTGTAAGCTTTGTAATCTGATTATTCAATTCCTCTATCTGTGTCTAGAAGAAAAACAAACCAGCAAAGCCCACAAATCAGGGTTATCAAGGATACAACAAAGCAGTACAACAATGCTACCTAGTACTCACCGTAAGCCCCTTTGTTTCTCTGTCAACAATCTCCTGGACATTCATATATGCCTCCTTTTGTGATGCAGCAGAAATAATCTGCTGTTCAGCATTAGCAGTCATTTCTGCTCGGAGTTCCAGAAGTGCTTTACTCAAAGCCTGAAAGTAATTAATTGAATTTTTTTTAAGTGAAGATGCTGCTAAAAAACAAGAAAAGGCAATTATATTTTACAGTGGTATATTATGCAATTATATTCTATCTCCTGCTCAACTACACAAAGGATTCTTAAGCATTGAGAAACAGTAAACATTTAAGTGGCATGGAGATTAATTTTTGTTAACTAACTTTGTGCTGGTTCTCTTTTATGGCTAATTGGCTCTTCAGCTGTTCCACCAGGTTTTTCAGTGTTGCTGTGGGTGCTCTGGTATTTGCTTCTTTTTGGACCTCTAGTTCAGCTTTTACATTTGCTAATTCCTTCTCCTTCTGAGATAATATATTCCTCAATTCATTTGCTTCATGTTTTATTTGTTCCATATCAACTGTGTGCTTTTCCTGAAGCCTAATAAAAAATAAGCATTAATAGGGTACACTGCAATAATTAACAAATTCCAAATAAGTAACATAGGACATGATTGATATTTTTTATTATTATTAAAACAAATGACACTCAGATTTGGAAACAGCAAAAAAAGACTGACTCAACAAAGGTGGCCTCCATTTAATAAGAAAATTACTCAAGAAAGTCAGCAAAATCAGATTAGAGTATTGTTCATTCTCATTCCTGGCCCTTAGAGGTTAAAAAAAAATCATACTTTTCTCCTTTTAAACACCAGCTAAATTTTCATGAGTTTAAACTGGTCAGCAACAAACCCAAACAGATGTATCAGAGGGAGAAAAACAACAAAACACAAGACAGCAGATAATACAGTAACTTAAAAATAACTTTCTTACCAAGACTCCTCAAATACTTTTTCACTGATTGGGACAAAGCTAACAACTGAAAGGCACTTTTCCAAGCCACAGTTTTTCAGTATTATCCCCAGCGAAGGGCTACAGATTAAAATTAACTTATAGTTACCAACTATACTAATGCTTTTGAGTTAGTTTTTTTCAGTTAAATCTTAAATTCAGCAAAAACATGTTCAATTTGATAGATCAGTCCTGTAGTAGCAATACATAACTGACTTGATCCACTCCAGGTTGTGACTTACATTAACAGTCTAAAAACTTACTGGACTCTGATAGTCTCAAACTCATTGATTTTCATTATAGTAATTTGTTTTTGTTTCTCCAAATCAGATGATGTTTTCTTTAATTTTCCAACAAGTGAAGCAAGAGAATTATCCTGTTCGGCTACAGTTTGCTCTAAGCGGTGAAAATATTTGCTGTTGGAAAGTGATAAAGAAGACTTTTTCCCTAATTCCTGTAAAATAGAGCAAATGCACATGACAAACACTTTAAGCTTTAAATTAAAGATAACCATTAGTGATGCATTTTTAACTCAATCCTAAATATACCTAAGCATTCATAGCTAATACATTTATTTACTGAGATATGATTCTTAGTTCACAGAGAAACCAGTCACACTGGTTTGAAAAGAATTTTGTGCATCTAATGAACAACAGAATAACCAGTTAAAACAGGTTTCACCTTATCATAAAGTGTAGAGAGAAATTTCATATTGAAATGGGATAGTTTAATATAACTATAGATTGAATGAGATGAATAGAAAACAAAATATAACTCTCTCTTCTAGAAGTCTCCGTAAGGATGATATCAAAAACAGGGAATGAGGTGGTAACTTTGGTTTCTTATACATGACTTCTAATCCATCTCATGTGAATTCTCTCAAGAACAATACAATAACTGTATCAATCACGCTTTTCTTTTTCCTGTCATCAATTATTACTTACTTTTGACTGCAAAACTGTTCTTTTCACCAACAAATTAAAAAACATAGGAACAACTTCACTAATCCCACAAATACACATAACTCACCAAAGCAGTCTCTTTGAATTTATTAAGGGAATTGTCAGTGTGCAAATCTAACTTCTGGTGTAGAACTCTTAGGTCTTCCTCATGCTTCTTTGCTATTTCCTCTTGTTCCTGTTAGTTCAAAATAAAAGTATAACTCTACTGGATGTACACTATCACAGAAAGTCATGAAACAACAGTGCCTTCAAGCTGTTTATTCACTCATTGCTCAATATTACTCCACAGATTGAAGAAATAGCTACACATGTTAATCAAAGCACACTAAGTGAATATGATAGAAAGTCTGCTTTGGAAATGTGCTCCTGATCCAAACACACTAAAACTGATGCACGTGTAGTCTTGAAGTACCTCTGAGACAAAAGGTTTATGCTTTAAAATATGCTTTATGGATATATGAAAAGCCAATATTAATTATGTTAAAGTAATATAAAGTATGCTTAGACACACTTTATGCTTTTAAAAATGCTTTAATTTAAAATATGCTTTCCATAAATGTCTTTCCTCTATCTTCCAAATATCTACCAGATATAGTCCAGATGCAGTGCAACTTACTGTTGCTAGTACTGAAAAATCCCATAGAAATATACGACATACCACTTTTCACAGCAGAATTTTAGTTTTTTTCCTGTCACACTACTTTAATTCCTAGACAGACATCAGATACATAAACTCTTGGACCAAGCAGTTCTCTTATTATAAGAGGTTAAAAAATTCTATGTGAACCTCTCACATAAAAATAACAAATTGTCTCTGTTCTGTTACATCTGAGCTCAGAAACTTATTTTAGATTTCACTAGCAATGTGAAAACAGAGAATCAACTAAAATAACTTAAAAATGGAAGAAATTTTATCCAAAAAGTTTAACTACCTCTCTTGCTTTAGCAAGCATATGTTGGTATCTTTTTAACACTTCCTCCTTTTGATTTAATCTTGCTTGCATATTTGCAATGGTTTGATGAGCAATTTTAATGGCATGATGGTACTCTGGATCATCTTCTCCTTTGCCTAATTCAGCCATTATTTTCTCTCCTGATGATGCAGGCAATCGAAGTCTTAGTTCATTTATAACTTTGTCTCTTGATAAAACATTTTGTTCAGCTTTCCACAGAGCGGTTTCCTTTTCTTTTAATTTCTACAACGAAAGGCAATTGTTGCATTTCCAGAATTCAAAAACTGCAAGAATTCAAAAACTGCATTTCTTACTTTTTAAGAAATGTACCAGAAAGATTTGTCTAAATGGACTTATAACCACAAAATGCTTTGCACTGGGTTCTGTCTGTATAGGATTACCATTAAGTGTAGAAAAGTCCCAGAATATCATTACCTTGTCTTTTGCTTGGCACAAGACACTGAAAGCAACTGATTTTGTGCTACCAAACTAAGACGTCTGTGTTTTACAAATTTCTCTAGAACCATTTAGTAGGATGTATCTTCTGTAACAGAATAGCAATTTACTAACCCAAGATAAAAGTATGTTGCTATGCTACTTTGTTACTTGTTTAATGTAACACTTGTTAAGTTTAACTAGCTTTAATCAATAGAATTTTGTACAGTAAGAACATCTTACCCTACTAAATGGAAGAATAAAAACACTAGAAAATTCTCAATAATTTGTTCCAATGGAAAAAGTATTTAATTTTATTCATGGTGTGATTATATTATTTACATTTTCTCTGGGTTAAATCTATCTAAGTAACATTTAAAAAAGGATATTTATTATAGAGGAAAAAAGTAACAGGCATAGAAATACAAACTTCCTTACTTTATAGGATAATTTATATATTTAATTACCTCCTCCAGTGACCTGCAGGTTGCCCTGGTTTCCAGGATTGTTTGAACATGCTCCTGAATCTTTCTTAAAGCCAACTCAAGTTGTTGTGCGATTGGCAAACTAGGGTCTGGAACTGAGCCTCTAGCCTCTTCTAACTGCACAGAAAGATTCATATTCATGTAATCTGACAGCTCAAAAAACCATGCTTATGAGTCTATTTTTAGTTAATTCAGTGCATGTACCTTTAAAGCAGTGCTAAATATTTCATTTTGTTGATGATCATACAGGTCTAATTGGCGCTGCAGTTCCACTTCCCTCTGGTCCCAAGCCATTTGCCTTTCCTCATGAAACTGTAACATGTTTGAAAAAGGTAGTTTATTTATTGAAGGCAATAGAAATTTTATAATCAACTTCAACAGAAGAGTTACCAAAAAGTAAAATACTCAAATGTGCTATTAAAAAGAATTATGAAACCAAGATATAAACATCCATGTTAAAAAGTTATTAGGAAAATCACTTAGTAAAATAAGGAATATGCTGCTTTTCGAATAGCATGCAGAAATACATACCTTGTTCTGCTGCACAATTTCTTCTTCCAAATTATTGATTGTACGTTCATATTCAGAAATGATATTACACAAATATTTCACCTCTTCCTTTTGCTTGACTAATTCTCGATTGAGTTTAAGTTCCTGCAGATGGAGTTCTTCCATCTTCATATGCCATTCAATTACCTAGCAATAAATAAAACATGGTATATTATAATTTACCACAGGCCAACTAGATGCAGCTTCACTCTGAGGCAGTATGGCACTTATCAAACCAACAGGAAGACAAACATGCTGCTTTTTTCAGCTTCTTCACTTTTCTTGAGTTAGCAAGCATGGCAAGCATATGAAACTGCAAGAGGAATGACTGATAAGTGCAGAAGACAATTGGAGTGGCAACAGGCTTCTCCCTCACTGACAGAAGTGCTTTGCAAACAATTTTCAAATGACCTAGAGTTATACCCTACCCTATGCACCTGTCCAGATGGAACAAAAAAAAGCATGCAAGAAGTTTGGTTTGTTTTTTCTAAAAGAGCAGAAGATTTTCAAAACCATTAAGCACTGTATGTATTCAAAAATGCACATGTACTAAGAATAACAGACATATTTATGTCAAAATGCTCTAGAAAAATATCTGAAAACTGATTTCAGACTAAAACATGCCCAGAGCATTAAAATCGTTGATTGTTTGCATGCAGACTTTAGTCATAACAGATATAATCATATTATATAATACCCAGTGATCTTGAAGAGAAGTGAGAAAGACTTATTCAAATTTCAGGGCAACATTGTTTACAATAGATATGAGTAAGCATACTTACATGATTATAGTAATATTTCTGATGATACTGCTAAATTATTGCCCCTAGATTTATTTAGAATGACATGGATTTGTAGTGAAGATTTCAATGCCAGCTCATGGAACGGCACTTCAGAATGCTATTCTCTGTTTAATTTAATTTAATTAATTATTTAATTAAATTAATAATTTAATTCAAATTAATGTAACTGCATTCCTAGTTAGCCTCTAGCTCCTATGTGACTTAATTGGGCACAAAAGATAATTAGTAAATCTGACTGCACTGATTTTATGGAAAACAAAAAATTACCGGTTTCCCATTCTAACAAAGTTTATTTTGAAATAATTACGTTCTACATTGAAACAGACATTTAGAGAACAAGCTAAACTGAAATGCAATTTAAATGCAGATCAGATGAACAAAGCTATTCAAAGTTGTAAAATCACAAACCTTTTGAGCTCCTCTTGTATCCTTCAATGCACTTACTAATTCTTCTAAACTTTTCAGTTTTAACTCCAGCTCTAATGTTCTGTTTTCTGCATTTCGACGCTCCTGCTGGGCATGTTGAACTTCTTCCAGGATCTTCAGTTTGTCATTCTGTAGCTGAATCATTGTTTTAGAGAATTTTTCTTGCTGTGCTAAAGGCAGAGCACCACTAAACTGTCGCCGCAAAGACTGAACTGTCTGTTGCAGATGTTTGGCTCTATTTCTTCCTTCCAGTCGGGCAAAATATAAGGCTTGATCTCTCTCATCAAGCTTCTGCTCTAAACGTAGATTTTGGATCTCCATCTTCTGTAGTTTCAATTTAAGTGTTTCCAATTTGCCTACAGCAACAGATTCACTACCTTGAAGGGCTATGATATCTTGATGCAGTTTTGCAATAACTGCTTTTTCATCTGACTGTGCCTAAGAACAAAATTCATAGAACAAATTTATTTTCCATTTTGAATATGCTAGCACAGTTTATTTTATATTTTTATTTTGTATTTATTTTATATTATTTATTAATTGCAGCGCCATGTTTTATTTTATATATTGCATGTATTTTATTTCACAGAGAAGAGCAAGAACTAGCCTCTAACAGCTTTTTATTTTTCCACTGCTGTTTCTACAACCACATTTTAGAAGTATACCTTTTCAGATACCGATCTTAAAAACTCTCTTTCCAAAATACTAGAAACTGAGGAAGAAATCTATACCTAAACTTAGAAAATATGGTAATGTAAAAGTTGACATAGGTGTTGGATTTAAGGACTCAAACCATTCTAGAAGACGAAACCAAATCCCAATAACCTGTTTCAGCTAATAACAAGGCACTATAATAAGTCTACTACAAATCTTCAAGTCCTTTCTTGTCTTGTAAAAAATGACCAAACTTTCCTGACATTGTATTTAAATATTGACCATGATCTATTAATCATACAGGAAGAAATATTACCTAAACAACATGGAAAAAAGCTCAGGATCTGTCATAGCTACCCAGCTAGAAATGGAATAAATGAAGAAGGGAATAATTAATGTAATATAGAAATCTTGAAAGGGTATGGCAACTACAAGGACCAGCTTGCAAAGATCCTTCTGAAATACTTTTGAAGTTTTCTAATTCATTGCGAAGTTACTTCATTTATTCTCACTCCAGGAAAAAAAATATCCAAACAGCAGTGTAATTAAAGGTTGAATTTTACCTGATAATCTAAAATTTGCATTCTAAGAGATTCCACTTCTTTATCTCTGTATTGCTGGCGTGCCTCCAGAGCTTCAACTTGCGTTTTCGCTACATCAGACAGTTCTCTTAACCTTGCAGGGAAAAGAGGTATTGTGTCACTTGAAACCATTGAGTAACCTTTTAAGTCTGTCAATGCAATGCTAAGAAGAGATACCTAGCATGTCTCCTCAAATCAAAACATTTGGACTTTGTTCTTTTCAGCATACTCTTATCTACTACTCAGAGTTCTTATTAAGAAAATTCTTGTTTGTATTGTCTCTCAACTTTTTCACAGGACGTTTTCCTATAAGTTATACAGAGGTCTGCCAGTGGTTAACATTCTCCAGCAAAACAATGCCATGTTTTTTACCTGAACTAAGCATCTCTGTCCTCTATTTCTCTCCCACTTCAGGATATACTCAAAATCCTCTAAATGTTCAAAAAGTCTCATTCTCAATTCCTTTCTCTGATTCTCCAACTTTAATCATTTATTTTCAGTATTAAAAATCACCACAAGTATCCCCATAGACTTTGTAGATTTAGGAATATAACAGGATTATATTAATTACTCAAAGACAAATGTCCATATCAACATATCTAAAAAGCTCATTTTTCAATTTATGCAAAGTTAATCTCTTTTAAGTAAATGACAAACCTCCCTCCTACTGCAGTTTAACCTTCGATGTATCTATGCCTCTTTTGAAGTAAGAACTGCTTTCCAATTAGTTTTATGAGATTTTCATACATATAAGGGAGGTTGTGGCACAGAAACAAAATAAACCTCAATTAATTAGTTTAAAGGGCCTGCTATAAGTATCTAATTGCACACTTACCCTTGTCTATCTAGGTCAGCACTTAATTTTTCAAATTAAAATGAAACAAATTGCTTTCTTTATAGTTAGGAATTAAATGCTTCATTTTCAATACTAAATTTGGCATATATAAATGTCAGAAAAACAGGCATTGAAAATTATGTTAGTGATACATAAGTAGTGTATTCCATAAGATCAATATAGCCTAAATTTTTGCATGCTTCCAAACATACTGCATTCCAAATTTGTTACTTCAACACTTACTTTGACACTTCAATCTTGAGCTCCATCTCGCGCTTCTCTAGGTCCATGATTTGTCGTCGATCTGCATCACTTACTGCCTTACTTACACTCTTTGACAGTTCATCTCTTAATTCCTGTTCCACTTTCTGTGCCTCAAGATTGATTTTAGTGAGCTTAAAAAAATCAAAACGAGAAACAAACAGAATGGTATCCTAAGCACACAACTACTCTAAACTCTGCAAAGAAAAAGCAGTGCCAACAGCATTTTTTCTTTTCCAGTCATTATAATACACTGTTCAGCTGAGCTGAGGTTGTGTTCAAAACTCAGTTTTGTTTTCTCTCTGCTTAAACATCTTTTTGTTTGCAGTGTTGCTTACACACAGGAACAGAAACACAGGTTGGTGCAGAAAAGGATGTTAAAGCAAACACAATTTTTATTAGTTAATTTTCTTAAAACCATTACTGCAACAACTTGCTCTTAACTAAAATAATAAATAAAAAAATAAAAAAATACTATAAGCACTTCAGGAAATGGAGAGTCTTATATATTTATTTACTACTTAGTATATTGGGATTGGTAACACAAAGGTTATAAGTGCCAAGACTCTTTCTAAAAAGAATTTTCTTTATTAAGTGATATTCTTTCAAGCAGCCTGATTTTTCAAGTTGATTATTAAATACTCAGTAACCAATGTTTCAATTCAAACCAAAGAGCTTTAAGATAGATAATCTGAAAAGGATTAGACAACACAGAGAAGTCTCAAGATTTAATTTAGTACATACAGTTGTGGCACATTAATCTGATACCACTTCTTAATAAAATAATTGATTTCCTAAACAAATTAAAAAAAAGTGTGGGGTTTCTTATTATCTGCACTTTGCATATGTGAGACAGTACTATCTGGAAAACAGTCATATTGAAGTAGATTTATGAGTTAAAAAGATGTATAGTAGACTTCTAGTTATCAGTTCTTAAACTGGTATCATTTAAAACTTCCATTAATTACCTCAGCACAATCATGTTACTCGTCTCAAAAAAAAAGAAATTATACCAGATTAGGAGGCACTGGCACCACAAGTATATTAAACAGAAAACGTATGTCCTGGAGCTACAGAAATGAGACAAAAAGGGATGCAGAGGTACTAATAAGAAAAAATTGTGGTATTAGGAGTTCATCAACTCATAATGAAAGAAGACCAGCAGACCTTAAATGTATCACAGGACAAATAATATATGTGAAAAAGTAAAATGGGACACTAGGGAGCGTCACCTGAAGTGTTTATTAAGGAAACAAAGAAGTCATCCCATCAGAAAAGCTTTAAAAATGCTGCTGCTGAATAGCTTTATACACTTTCAGTTACTCCATCACCTGGATTAATTTAAAGCAAAACAGCGTAACAAACACCACTAAAACAACAGAGAAATGGGGAGTCACATAACTGCAATCTAAAATAGCTTGGCTAAACTCTAGCAAAGGACAAGGAGGGGGAATGAATACAATCTATCAGCATTCAGAGAATCACAGAATATGCTGAGTTACAAGGAAACCACAAAGATCATGGAGTTCAGCTCCTAGCCGTGCACAGGACCATCCTCAAGAGTCATACCATGTGCCTGAGAGCATCATCTTGAACTCTGTCAGGCTTGGTGCTGTGACCACTTCCCTGGGGAGCCTGTTCCAGTAACCAACCACCTTCTGCGTGAAGAACCTTTTTCTAATATCCAACCTAAACTTCCCCTGACACAACTTCAGGCCATTCCCTTGGGTCCTGTCACTGTTCACCACAGAGAAGAGATCAGTGCCTGCCCCTCTTCTTCCCCTCATGAGGAAGTTGTAGACTAAAATGAGGTCTCCCCTCAGTCTCCTCTTCTCTTCACTGGCTGAACAGACCAAGTGATCTCAGCCAATCTTCATACGGCTTCCCCTCAAGGCCCTTCACCATCTTCATTGCCCTCCTTTGGAGACTCTCTGAGAACTTAATATCATTCTTATGGTGACCAAAACTGCATACAATATTCAAGGTGAGGTCACCCCAGTGCAGAGCAGAGCGGGACAATCCCCTCCCTCGACTGGCTGGTGATGTTTTGCCTGATGCCCCCCAGGACATGGTTGGCCCTCCTGGCTGCCAGGGCACTGCTGACTCATCTTCAACTTGCCATTGACCAGGACCCCCAAGGTCCCTTTCTGCAGCACTGCTTTTCAGCATCTCATTCCCCAGTTTGTACGAATATCTATGGTTGCCCTATCCCAGTGCAGGATCTGGCACTTTCTCTTGTTCAACTTCCTATTGTTGGTGATTGCCTGGTCCTCTAATTTGTCAAGATCTCTCTGCCAACATATTTATTCTTCCCTTGCATTTAAATTATAGACCCATAATAGCACAAGGACAAATGTGTACAACTCCCATAAATACATTTAGACTAAAAATTATAAAAAAGTCTCACGCTATTAAAAAATAAATTTATATAAAGAAATTAAAATATTAATAGTGGAGACCAAAAAAACCTAACAAGATGAAAACTGATAGGACAGGAATACTAAGGATCATCAGCTTCAATAGCATATGACTTCTATTCCCATACTATAGACAATGTTTGGCATGGTACAGGGGACATAGTCAGTCTGTACCAGAAACATGACACTATTATTTGCACAAAGGATGCAACATTCTACCTTTTTTTTGAATAATTGTTAAATTATAAGGAAAAATTAGTTGAAAAGAGATCATATGCATTAGACAAAAGAAATTAACAGGTCAAGAACAGACATTTTTCTAGCAGTCTGCTGATAAAAATATAAACTATCTGTTAAGATGCTCATAATATGTTTTATAGATATTAACTAATGTTTAAAATGAACTATTGACAAATTAATTAGTTATACTTTTACCAGTGCCTTGTGCATGCGAAATTGCAGCTATATTTTGAATCATAAGTTTATTTGCCAGTCCTGATACAAAATAGATTAATGCTTTTTGAAAAGCTCAAAAATATGCTCTTAAAATGTATCAAATTATGTTGTTAAATCTCAGCAGATTTACCTCAGCAAATTTTGTTTCCAATTCAAAATTACGTTCCTCTATTTGCTTTACAGTATTCCTCAAATGTTCATACATTCGTTGTGAATGTTCTGCTCTCTGTCTTTCATTTAGTTCCTTCATTTCCAACATTGTGATTTTCTTAGAAATGGACAAAATCTCACTGTTGGTTATTGCTTTTGTGGCCTTGTCCATGGAACTGTCATCCCCTACAAGAAAAAATATTTAAATTAGGGAATACAGAAGCTGATTCAACTATGAAAATTATTTCCACTACAAAACTGAACATGAGCTTTGCTTCATCTGTGTCAGATAAACTTCATCAAAACACCTGTATTTTTTTTTAAACTGGAGGCGTAGTTATCTTGCCTTATTACATGTTTGAAAAGTATCTAATTTGAATGAAATACTACTGTAAATTATAAATGCATATATCTGCAACCATGGTTATTGAAACTGATAACTATTTTCAATCTAGCCTTTCACTTTATCCTTAATTCAGCTGGTAAATCTTCAGGAAATTTAATTTAAAATATGTAAAAGAAACAAATATGAATGAGTTCTTCTTGAATAATGGGAATGTAAGCTATACAAACAAGCCCCAGCTATCAAGAAAAAAATGCTTTGTTACAGAGTATCCAAACAAGAAAAAGAAATCACTTTCTTGATGACCTCTGATCTATTATGACTGACAATCAAGTTAGAACATATTAAGAAAAAAATTCAGGTCATGTTGCTTTAAAAGCTTTCAGACCTGGTAACCCAAGAAAAGTCAAAGTGCAAGAGTTTCCAGAGGAAAATGCCAAACTTGGTTTTAGTCAAATAGATAAGTAAAATGTAACATAGTAACAAAGAAATTCACCAAAAAAATTAAGACCGTTACCGAAAGATATAAAATAGTTTTTATTTTTTATTTTGGTTATTTTAAGATACATCGATTTTAAAACATTTTCAAATATTTCTTTTATACAGGATACACCATTTGGTTTTTAATGTTGCAATATGACTTTCATACTTACCCAGTTTAGTCATCTGTTCCCAAGCCTGTTCCACAGTGTGAAGTTTCTCTTTCGTGATCTCCAGTTCTTTATTCAATGAATTTATCTGTGCTTTCAAGGATTCATTCTCATGCTGTGTAATAGAAAAGTTTCAGCATAACTGCAAACTATTTAATTGTAACAGATTTCATGTTTAGTATCTATGAAATCTTTCAGATTAACAGATGTTAATGTATGCTATGTACAACCCGTAATCTACATATATGGCGACAAAGAGCAACAGAAGAGCATGTTTCCTCCTAAGTGTAAAATTGCTAGTCTTTGCTGTGTTCTATCTTACCGCCAACTATAATACTATGAACAGTTATTACCAGTGGCTGGGATTCCTACAGTGCCTAGAATTAGATGAAGAAATCTTCATTTGTCATACTAAGCACCTCGTTATTAGTTCGGAAAAAAGAAGTACTTCTGGAGGATATTTCATCCCACACACAATACTTCATCTTGCACGTAAATATATATTTGAGACGTATCATATGCTTCTTTTAGGCATCTAATATGATGCCAAACATTAGTTTTGTAAATGTTCCTTCACTCCTCCAAATAGAAACACAGATTTCCGCACTAACCAGTAAAACAAATCAAATACTTCTTGTTAATTTTCAATCTTTAGTTTTTTAAATACGTTTTTAGTTGATAAATGATTCTCTAGCTCTAAGAAATTGCTGAAATGGGCAACACAAGTTTTCATACACACAAAATTCCAAAAAATAGACAAGGAATCATTCATTCATTACCACCCATTAAAAGTGGAAGGTAGTAACACATCTTTGAAGCCAACTTCACAATTTATAAAAAGAAACTTCTACTTCAGAATAAAAGTTCAAAGAAAAAGTTAAATATTTAAAGTCCCTACAACATTTTGCAAGCATATTGTGAGCGATCCTGGGCGATTTTTTTCTATAGAGGTCAAATTCCAAAGCTTAACTCATTTTTGGAAGTGAACATTTCATTCTTGTGAAAGCTGGGAATTAGTAAAAGCACATACTTTGAGAGAAAGCTTTGAAAGTGTTTACATTCATTCTACTTTCCTTATGACCTCCAAAACTCAAGATGATAGCAAATATTCCTTCTGCCAGTCAAGTTTTAGTAATCAAAGAACTAAAAATAATTTCTGAGGGAACATACCTAAAGCTTAATTTAAAAAGCAAGCAAACAAAAAACCAAAGAACCAAAACAATTAAACAAAATGCTTTTATGTCTGCCCATTGTAATAAAATCTGGAACTCCGTGTATGTTTGTCAGTGCACTGAAGAATACCAGGATAGCAAATTAAAATTCAATAGCAACAGTCAGACTGGTTCAAACATCTCATACTCACTATGAAACTGTTCTAACCAGCAGTTTTAGTGCTGAGACTTCTGTTCTATCTTCCTCTTAAGTGAGAACAAAAACCAAAGCAAGATGAACATATAAGAAGTTTCTTCCCCTTGGGGTTCAAATGTAACACAAACATTACCTCCATGTGTTCCATGTTTGTTGTCCGTTGGACAAGCAAATTATCCTTTTGTAACATATCTCTGTATTTAGCAGTTAATGCATTGTACTGCTTATTAGCCACTTCTAGCTCAGACAACGGCACACTACCATCCAGCACTTTTTGCAGAGCGGCAATCTTAAAGCTGGCCATTTCCTATGAAAATAATGAACAGTGGGTTAATAAAATGGATCAGTTACATCTTGAAATATAAAATTACTCCACGGAAAAAGAATACTACTTAATATAATGCTTTAGACATGGGTTTATTTTCCTAAATTACCTTTCCTTTTTAAAAATTGCCTGCAATAAACATTGACAAAATTTCTCTGGTATTCCTAGAGCGACCTGCAAGGCCAAAGAATAAGATTTGATTTCATATGACACTTTCAACAAAAATAACTTTTTGAAGCAACTGCAGAAGGGGAAAACCAACAAGTTTCATATGATGATCATAGAATCACAGAATGCTTTGGGTTGGAAGGAACCTTAAAGATCATCTCATTGCAATCCCTCTGCCATAGGCAGGGACACCTTCCACTTGACCAGGTTGTTCAGAGTCCCATCTAACCTGGTCTTGAACACTTCTAGGGATGAAGCATCCACAACTCTTCCAGGCAACCTGTTCCAGTGCCTCACTACCCTCACTGTAACAAATTTCTTCCTAATATCTAATCTAAACCTGCCCTCTTTCAGTTTGAAGCCATTCCTCTTTGTGCCACCACTGCATGCTCTTGTAAACAGTCTCTCTCCATCTCTCTTGTAGGCTCCCTTCAGGTACTGGAAGGCCATAATTAGGTCACCCTGAAGCTTTCTTCTTTTCCAGGCTAAATCCTAATTCTCTCAGCTTTTCCTCACAGGAGAGGTACTCCATCCCTCTAATCAGCTTAGTGGCCCTTCTCTGGACTCGCTTCAGCAGGTTGATGTCCTTCCTGTGCTGGGGACCCCAGAGCTGTACACAGTACTCAAGGTGGGGGTCTCATCAGAGCAGAGTAGAGGGACAGAATCCTCTCCCTTGCCCTGCTGGCCACACTTTTTGGTTTTATGCAGCCCAGGACATGATTGGCTTTCTGGGCTGCAAGTGCACATTGCTGGGTCATGTCCAGCCTCTTATCCACCAGCACCCCAAAATCCTTCTTGTCAGGGCTGCTCCCAATCTGTTCATCCCCCAGCCTGTACTGAGATGTGGGGTTTCCCCAACCCAGATGCAGCACTTTGCACTTGGTCTTGTTAAACTGCATGGATTCCCATGGGCCCACTTCTCGAATCTGTCTGGGTCACAATGTTTTTATAACAGCATCTAGGAAGCTTTGGGGATTTCACTCAAGAAACTAGTGCTAACTCCATTTAAAAACAATGGATTTATCCCTAAATTGTAAAAATAAAAATGTGTGCTATTACTACTATAAACTATACCTTGAATCGTTGCAAGTTTCCAATCTTCCCTATAACTGCAGTCTCCATATGTGTTATTTCACCCTTTAGTTTCTCATTTTCTTTTCTAAGATGGCGTTCCATTTCAAGCAAAGTTGTACACTGCCTTGTTAGTGATTTTTCATTAACTCTTAAAACAGTTATTTTTCTATTATTTTCTGCAAGTACTTTTTTTGTTTCATCAGGATCCAGCTGAAGTGCATCGAGTAGATTCTGTAACACATTTTTTAACAAGAACCTTGAACAGAAATATGGTAAAACACAACTCCATAGACAAGCTTGCTTGTATATTTTTTAATCTAGGTGGAAAAAATTCATTAATCTGTCTGAAATAATTTCTTTTTGCTAATAAAACATACGTACACTCAACACATGCATAAGCATACAACATTCTATCAAAAGAAAAAATTGAATCTCCAAAACTATTAATTTCTGAGGAACAGAAGCTAAATACATTTGACTGACTAAATAAAATTGTAGTTAATGCTGATATTTTCAAAACTTAGAAAAATAATAGTTCTCTGCATTTACTGTCATCTGTCTTCCCCTTTTTACTAGAATCAAAACAAATGTATTGGGGAAATTTTCTAAACAAAATAGAAGTCCTGTGGTTCCAAACACTAATAATGTCCTACTTTGAAGACCAAACCCATAAAATTTGCAAAGTAACCACAGGATCCCTCTTACAGAAACGCATGTGTGTGCACACGTGTTTGTATATACGTATAAATCTAAGGAGGGGCAGTGGTGGGGAGAGGAAACTATGGCAACTTAGGTCTCAGGTGCCATGTGAGCTTTAGCTTTGCTGTCGCACACATCAGCTGGCCAAGGAGACAGGTAGTAGAAATTGGAGCTGTAAATTCCCAGATTGCTTTGAGCTTAATAAACAAGAATGAACAGGCAGCTAGAAAAAAAATCCAGAGTCCTGGAAGTCTGATACTTTTCCAATCAAGAAGCCTATTTTTCTTAAGCTTTCAGAAGTAAGCATCACACTATCACTGATCACTCACAGTGAAGTAATTTCAAAGAATGTTTAATCTGAAAATGTTAAACTAATTCTAAACAAAATTACACACTAACAAAAAATAATGCTAAATAGTAGTATGTATTACTTATGTTTGGATAGATATGTCTCTGGAAATAAAAGCTATTAGGAAATGGTAATTTCTTAAAATATCTCAGCAATATTTTTATAGCACTCCATTAAATTTTAAAATCATTTAAAAAACAAATGTCAGAAATATCTTAATTCTGCTACAGTCTCTTCCTGTGACTCCAGAAATGCAGAACAAGATACTGAACTAATTAAGTAAGATGGCGTGCGCTCTCTTTGCTCTCTTTCTCTCTCTCTCATTTTTCAGACATACAATAGAAACATCTGCAAAACAATTCCAATTTCAATTTCCTGGAGATATATTTAGAATTAAGTGCCTATTTTGCTAATCAGTTACAGTCATGAACAGGATTATAAGCAGGACTACATACCACTACAGTTATCCCTCGGTAGAAGAAAATTGTTAGAACTCAGCTCTTTAAACCTTCACAGTTTACTTTCAGCACCTTGTGAAAACCTTGCTCTGTGTCTGCTTCTCTAAAAGGATGTGTATGGCCAGTACATCTTAGGTTATATTTTGCAATGTTTGGTACCCAAAGACACCTGTAACCATGTGAAACTGCACTATGTCTGTGATTAGACATCTGCATCAATTCCAGGAACTTTTAAGTACCACCAATATTTTTCAGTTTTCTAAATGCAAGACTGAATTTGGACTTGGTGGAAGTAAATCAAAATACAAAGACGAATTCTGGATTCTGTTCTTCTGGAACAATGATTCATATACATTAACAATTATACATAAATAAGATGCAAGTCAAAGTAATAATCTTAATTCTTAGTACAAATTATTGTGCTTTTCAACAAGTTGTTTGCACTGCTCCTCCTCCCAGTCAAACAGCCTGGGTAACAACTGCTGTTAAGAGAGCAGTGTGAGTGTTAATAGTGTGTGTGAACAGAGATTGCCCAAGAAGGCATTTATTCAAAACTGATAATCTTAAAGATCACCATGAACCAGACTGAACAGTAAACGTAAAATTAGAGATTTGAAATAAAGGAGTAGTCAGCTTCAAAATTAGTATAAATGCAGCATAAAAACTTTTAACAGCAGGGGTAGAGAGGGTTATAATGCAGCACTCATAACTCAGTTCAACTTCAGAAGTTTCCCCATGCCTCCATCTCCTGCGCAGATGTGAGTGCTTCCTCCCTGCTGGACACCACCCCTCAGCACTCCAGCTAAGGTCTGGAAGTACTAAGTGCAACAATTAGGGGCTCACACCTCGGGTGTGTGATGTGACCTCCTGGGGTGATTTCTCACAAGTGCATGGCTCACGCTACAGAAAGGCAAACAGGCACATGTAACACTGGAGCAGCCCCACATACTCAGCACCCTGGAGCACACACAGGAGGTGTGTGTACCCAGGGAACCTGTACTCTCAGGAAAAAGTGTGTGTCCTGGCAACCTGAAGAGGCCAGGCGGATGTGTGGGATGAGAAATATTAGGGATTAATTCCTGATTGGTGCTTAAAGATTTTCAGGTCTATAGTAAGATTTTATATGCGTGTTAATATTGTGATTTACCTTTGTACTGTTGACGCTGATTCTGAATGTACAGTTCAGATAGCTAGCTATTTACATTCCACTAGTAAATCAGTAAACCTCCTGTTTTGATTCAAATTGAGCCATTTTTCCCTTCAACATTTTCCCCATCTAAAAAATTATAATTTTGTATTAAAACCTCTGTTCTATGTTCTAAAATCTTTTTGAAAAATAAAAGCAACAGAATTACTTACAGAATATGCCTTTATTTTTGTAGCATCCTGTTCTTTTTGCTCTTCTAGTTTTTTCATTTCCTCTTTAATATCTTCTGATTCTTTCTGCCAGCTTTCCTTTTGACTAAAACAGTAATGCATTTTCATTAATTATGATGAAAAACTTGATGATTTTTAAAACTGTAACTTTAACAGCAACCCTGAAATATTACAAACCAAAGTACTTACTTTGAGCAGTAATGTAATTTGAAAAAAAACATTATAAATTGTAGATGGATTACTGAAAAACTATCTTCTCTGTTTAGGCTGCAGCTGGTTTAGTGATGAAAATAATTCTTCAGAATTACTTCAGAACTACTTGAACAGAGCGGAAAATCTTATTTCAAAATTGTTAATTATTTAGATAATTGGGCTTTCATAATTCAGAAGAGAGAACAATACCTTTGATATTCTTTATACAACAAGCCTTGTTGATGCCGAATTACTGCAAATTTTCGCTTATAGTCCTCTACTGCATCTTCTAACTGTTTAAGCAATTTTTCTTTGTTTTCCGATTCCTATTGATTTCCAAGTAAAAAAAATAAATTATTAATATAGGTTTTAAACATGAAATTATTAACTTAATCAAAATGCCATTCCTTTGTGCTTTCATGATAGATGCTTCTGTCATGAACAATGTGAACTCAAGATATAAACCGTGTATTTTCTTTAGAAGCAACAGATGAAAAAAGTACCATGAGCTTTGGTATTCCTATTAATAGGTGTGAAATAGTGCACAACTGCACTGTGGGTTACAGCTCTCGAAGTTCAAAACACCATGACCTGTTGCTAGCCCACAAAGAATACTAACTGAACGTCTAACTGGAAAACAACATTTTTTCTCATGTTCCCAAATACTCTTCTACTTTATGAGCATATAGAGTTGAAAAAATACTCTCTACTGAAAAAAAAGTGATCAGAAACAGCAAAAAAAAGAAAATTTAATAATAATAGAAAGGTAACTTTTTTTTACTTCTACTCCGAATGAGTCAAATCTTCATTACAAGGTACCTGTCTGCCATGCTTCCCACAGAAATCACTGGCTTCTGTTTCAATGAATTTATGCCTCTTTTTACAGTTGTTGCTTTGACAAATAATGGAATGAAAATTCATATGGCAAATTAATTGAGACCTTTGCTCTATAGGGAAAAACTGTTCAAGTAGGATTTGCATATGCAGACTCAGGTGTGGAATTCAGAGAGCAGTAAGAGAGAATTTCTCACAGAAAGAGTGCAACGGCAGAAGCAGAAGGAAAAGTGCAAATATTTAGAACAAAATTCAGATTTAAACCAGAAAATCTGATTTACTGTCAAATATTTAATTAACTATTATCTTTCAGGTTTACAGCACAACAAATACACACAGCTTTGAAATAACAGAATAGCCCAAAGAGTTAGATGTTAGAACATCAAAATAATTTTGGAGAGTTCTTTCATGTCCATACATGACATGGTGCTAAATTTTGGAGGAATTAGCTACATTATAAATATTCTTGATATCAAGGAATATATGAGTTACCTGTATAAGACGTATTAAATATTCATTCAGAGAATTAATCGTATTAACACTTGAAGGAACCATTCCTTCTGGAAGATTCACTGTTTGCAAGACAATATTGGGACCTTCTGACTGATGCAGTAAGCAAATCTCATTTTTCAGTTGTGCAATCTAAACAAAGGATACAAAACCATAAAGGAGCTCTTGCTATTCAATTAATAAAATGGAAAATATATTGCTTCCCTGTGCTACATCAGTTGTTATTAGCAACCTAATTCATTTCCACTTATATTCTAAAGCATTCTAAAACTCCTAAAATAGCCTTTTAAAAATGCTGTGATTCCATAAATCATTAAATGCATAATATATTTACCCAAATTTATCAAATTACTCCAGCAAACAGGGCAACTAAAAATATCACCACAGTTTTATTCAAAATTGTTTAAAACACAGTGCATTTCTACTCCTTTAATAAGATTAAGTTTTGGAAATAATTATTGTAGTGGTTATTTGACAGCTTATTCTAAACAAATCTTTGCCTTTTTATTTAACTTAAAAGCTCTCTGGTTCTCTAATAGTACACAAAACACTATTCTACAGCATTAGATTCTGGCAAATCTTTTTGCATCACCAAAGCTGTTATAAAAGGCAAATTTAAATCTGGCTTCTTTTAAGATAACATTCCATTCCCTATTCCTTCCCTGGAAGAAGCATTCCACAGAATGAATTGTACAACTTAAAACAAGATACAGAAATTTAAAGAACAATTCATCATTTCAAACACTTAATCTCTGTTCGTTATTTATAAATAACAAATGCAAGACTCCTGGCTTTTTTAAAGAAATAGATGTGTGAGCTTTTCTAGGCACAGTTCTCCCCTAAAAGAGAGGTGTGTGTGGTGTTTAACATGATAGAATATTCCAAAGATAAAGTAACATTAAAAAGAGCAAGATCTGAACTTAAAATTGATGAATTGATAGCTCCAATACGTAAATTTCAGGAAGATTTGTACAAATCTACTGTACAAATCTTGTACACCGTTTACATAAGCTAAATTCAATATCTTATAGATTGTGTGGTTCTAAGTTATCAGAGCAGACACTTTTGAAGTACAATATAAATTATATAAAATAAAATATTTACCTTTTCATTTGCATTTGCCAGCTGATTAGACAAACTTGTTGCCTCCTTCTGAGTCTCTTTTAGCTCCTGTCTTAATTCCTCATTTCGTCCTGTAAGCTGGTCAACCTGAGCTTTCAAGTGCACACTAGCATCAAAGATTCCCTCTGAATTCTTTGACTCCATTGCCTAATGCAGTAAACATTTAATTAACAGAACAGAGAAAAAGTGAAGAAAAGGTTTCATGTTTTCATAATAAACTGGAGCCATCAAGTTTAGACTACATGAAATTAGAAAAAAGAATGACATTTAAACATTCTAAAATCTACTTATCAGTTTCCTGTGGTATATTTGCCATATACTGTGACTTAAATGGTTAAACTTTCCTGTAAAAAACATAATTTTTGGAAAGATATTTGAATAAAGAATTTTTAAAAAACATTTCCTGCAAGTCCCATAGTGATAAAAGACATGCAAATGAACTTTTACCTAAGCTTTATCACTGGCACAATAAATTAGACATCAGATAGCTTTATACTATCCAGCTGAAGTTAGGATTTTTTTTTTAAATTTTATTGGCAATTTCTCCTTTATATTTTTAATTTACACTGTTAAAGAGGAATCACACATACTCTTACTTGCAAGTATGAAAGCATATATACAAGGAAACTACTATTAAATTATACAATAACCCAATAACTGAGGAGGAAAAGAATACCCTGTAAATTCTATAAAGCTAAATAATACTTTAGAAAGCAAACTTACATGAACTAAACGATCCAGACTAGGGATTATTAAGGCTGTTTCTCCTCCCTTCATATTAGAATCCTTCTGCATTTCCTTGACAGCCTGCAATATTTCTTTCATTCCTTGTTCTAGTTGCTTATTCTCTTCTGATAACTCTTTTACTGTATTAGAAGTTGTAAATGTGTTTAAAAGTACAGGAAAAACGAGTTAAGGTTTCCTAGAACACTTCATTATGATGCTTGTTGATTTGATAAACTAAAATAATGTTCATAGTATACATATATAGACATAACCAATTAGGAAATTAAAAGCAGAGCTGCTAGGAATATCTAGACAGTATATTTTACTGGTGAAATACTAACACAAAAATAATTAAATACTTCATGGGAACACAATTGAATTTATTGAACTTTCCAGTCTTCGATGTTTCCTTCCACCTTTTAAACTTCTTTAGTAGCCTATCAGACTTTCACAAATCCAGAAACATGGCTATCTTGGAAATGTTTGGGTGTAACAATGGAGTATATAGGAATTGCCTGAATTCCTTCTGCAGACTGACAAAAATGAGCATTTAAATGATGTGGCTATCAAAGACACTCAAGAAATACAAACCAGTAGTTTCTCAATGGAATTCCAGTTTCTAGTACAGAGCAAGAAGTCTGAAAACTTGAATTAAACCCAACAAACCTTCCAGGACATTCTCTGCATCCAAACAATATGTCTAAATGTCCTGAAGACCAGGAGTGAACTGCAAAATCTGTTTCACAAAGTCTATTTTGAAAAGTCAAAAAGAATTTTAAGAATTCACATTCTCTGGGAAGAAAATAAGATTCTTGTCCAGAGAAATTTGCATTATTTTTATTTCTGAGTTTGCAAGCAGTAACTTCAGCTAACATACATATGTAAGTAAGCAGCAAGTTGGTTTAATTCCCCAACATTGTCTGTGAGCCAGGAAAGCTCTACAATGACACAAGTAAATTCTGGGATTATTCACAGATTTAAAACCCTTATAAGGTCTCAATCAAGAAGGAAAAACATAAGAGAGCCCATTTTAATGAATTTAGTATGATTAAAGTACTATCACTAATTCAGCAACACTATATATGTATATACACACACACACACAAAGATATACGTTAACTTAAACACAAACATTTTTTAAAAGCCAGAAATTTATGGTCAAAATTATAGAACCAGAACAACTAAATAAGCAAACTATCTACAGGTACCTGATAATATTCCCTAGTTTTAAACCAGGTTGCAACTTACATTTAGATTGAAATCTGGCTATTACCGTCCTGTTCTTCTCCAAATCTCTCTCTCTCTCATTTAATTCAGTTGCAAGATATTCATTCTAAAAAAAAACAATCAAATACTCAAAAATTGCAATTTAGGAATTTTACTATTAGAATTTTCATTAAGACTGTGGTTAAATAAGAATAAAAGCTTGAAAATACTGTTAATCCACATATGCTCTATAGTGAAATTACACAGTATGTAAACCAAAATTAGGTGATATATAAAAAGCAACAATCAAAGAAATAGGCTCATCTTCACAGCAATAAAATTCGCAGGAAAAAATTATTTAAACCATAAAGAAACTTTACATAAAATATTTATCCTTTTTAGTTGTTTGTTGTTTGTTTTTTTTTACAAGCTTGTGGTACCTGCACTGCCTGGCTTCTGCAATTCTTTGTAACTGTTTAGCATACTCTTAGCCAACAAATCTCAGAATATCTGTTCCTTCTTAAAAAACCCAGCAATAAGTTATTAGTATAGGATTCTACATCCATTTACACGTATATATGTGAAAAGAAAGTACTTCCAATAGTAACTTCCAAAATATGAAAAAAACCCCAACACTTTTTTCCTTTGAAAATGCAATTAGTAGGCATTATTAATTTCATGGCTTGGCTGATGCTATTTTAAAAGAAACCACATCAGCAAAGCATAGTACTATAGCATGGAAAACCTGTACAGCTGAAAAAAGTCTGATATGTAGAGACATATACTTTCCACTGATCAGTCACACAGTTCAACAGCCTCAACAGAAACGGCATCAGTTCCAAAACATTTTGGGAAAGATAGGAAAGACCTTCTGCTTAATTTATGCATTGAAAATAGGTTTCCTCATCACATTATTAGATGGTTTCTCTCAGACCAAAAATACACAAAATCTAATTTTAGCAATTTAATATTTTAGTTCCAGACTTTTTCAAATTTGGAGTATGCATTCATGAAAGTTAGCCAGTCCACATATGGATTTCTTGCCTGAAATGGCAACAGAAATGGATTCACTGGAAGAATGACACAAGGTGTATCCCCATATAACACTCTCTGGCCATAGGGAAACATGTATTCTTGGGTCATGCAGAAGTTGGAATAGCAGTATGATACAGACCAAAAGTCTGTGAGACTATATAATTTGTAGCTCTGGTGATATGAAAATACTAAGAGCTTCAGAATTACACTTGTGATTAATTAGTTGCCACTCTATCACATGTTTTGCACCTAAATGAACAGAAAAAGTATTTCTAATTTTTTCCAAGTGATCTAAATTCTCATGTACGCCAGAAGTTCTTCTAGGTAGATTTCCCACTGCCTTACTGTTTTCAGCTATATTTTTCTCTGACTTCAGCTGGGGCTACTCTGTCTGCAAGTCTGTTTCACACTTTCACTTCACATGAGCTGCTAGGCTGTATTCACAAAAAATATACAATATTCACTAGTCTTCTAAAAATAATACAAATTATTAATTTTTGGATTTTTAAAAGCAGTTAATAAAAGCAGCTTAATAAATACTTGAATAGATATTTACAAAATAGGATTTTTTTTTAATTTTTGAAAGAGAAATACAATAAATGTTCATGAACCTGCTTTATGGACCTACCTTTGCTTTTATTTCAGCAATGTCATGTGTGGTGAAGAAATCCAACTTCCTCTTATTCATTCCCTTCTCTTCAGTAAAGCTATCAGTCATCTGCATATCATCAGCATCCAATCCTAATTGCACGTAGATGTACAAGTAATAAATTATTATGAAAATTTAACTGGTCTCCAAGCAAAGGAATATATTTCATTTATTATATCTGAGTTCTAGTTTTCTATCTGCAAAGTAAGAAGCTGTAAACCTTTCCATCTGAACGTATTACGCTACCCTGAGCGGCACGGAATTGAAATTTTAGGATTTTTGAAACACATATGTTAAGTACATTACTGGAAATTTTGGGGAGATCATCCTGCGCCCAAGAACTGCAAGGCAATGACACAAGTCTCAGTGATACATTACAAGTCATCACAGTTCAAGAAGATACTGGGCTGTAAGACTACGAAATCTAAAACCACTCACCTCTTCCTAAAGATTCAATGAAATGCATTTAGCCTTTTAATTTAAACAAATAAGTAAATATAAAATATATAAAAATATTAATAAGTAGATAGTATGTTTTTGAAAGGACAATTTATAATAAAAACATCTTACCTATTGTTGCAACTCTTCTTCCTTTCTCCTGAGCCAACTTACGAATTTGTTTTTTCAGTTCAATTCTTTCCTCTTCTAGTCTTTCAATCTGCATATTATTATTCACAGATCAGTATCCCACTTTGTTCAAATGCATTTTTATTACGTAGCTCTTATGCAAAAAAAAGATTTATCACTTACCTCTTGCAAAAGAATTTGGTTTTCAGCTCTATATTGCTGCTGCTTCAGCGCTTTGCTGTTTCTGAATTCACTTAAATCAATTACTGTCTTTGGGTCAAGACCTAAAACACAGTATATTATACAGTTATTCATTATGGAGGAACATTAATGTTAGTTAATGCGTTTAATTTAGATAAGAATATAATTAGACAAGTAGAATTAAAAAAATAATTTGTTGATAGTTGAACATAAACTACCTATAAAAATATGTATCTAGAAAATATATGCACATATACTCCATGTAATAACAACAGAAAAAAGCTTAATTTTTCTTTAGTTACTCAGAACCCAAAACACAATAAAATGTCACCTAAAATTAACTTTATTTACATTTAAATTATTCTATTTAAAAATAAGTCTGTCTGAAGTTTTCTCTGTGTTTTTCCATCTAGCATTACAACTTCAGTATGTTATGGTTTCCATAACTTTTTATTAAGCAGTGTGTGGTCAAAGAGGAATCAAAACCAAAATATAGTAGAGAACCTACTATCTTCAGTCAAAGAAACCTGTAAGCCACATTTATTCATGCAGTTTGTCCTAATTAAAACTACTTGCAAATATTAGCAGAATATACCAAATTATTTCCAGTGACTTGGTATAGTAAAATCCATTATTAAATCTTATTTCAATTCTTACAAAACAAATAATTGAAAATGTACTGGATGCAGCATACCTAAGCGCTCTCTGAGTTCTTCATTTTCATCAAGAAAGTCATTTATTTTAAGTTCAAGTTTATTGACTTCCTTAATTAACGATTCAATCTCATGTTCTCGTATTTTGACTTGCTTTTTTAAATCTTTGATCTCAGCAACAGCTTCTTCCAAACCATATATTCCCTGTAAAAACCCCAAATGGGAAGTAAAAACAAAACAACCAACAGAAGACTTCTAAAATAAATCATGAAACTTTCTTTCTTCATTATACAGACAACAAAAAATATTTTTCAAACTGTATCACTCTTCTGCACTATGCTTATTGAAAAAAGTTACTGAATAAAAAGCAGATCCTACAAATCTGTCTGACTACAGAGGAGTCTGCACATTTTAAGTGAGCCCTCTTACTACATGATTCTTTGAAGAATCATATCTTGAGTGTTCAATTGCTGTTCAATGGACAAAAAGGGAAGGGAAGCTTTGGGAAGGAAAGCACAAAATGATGTCCTAAAAATATGATTAAATACCCTGTCCACTCTGAGTTTACCAGTTCATAGTCTCTCATTCGTTTCAAAGTCTCAACAAGCTCTTTGTCCTTTTCTCTAGCATCTGCTTCTGCTAATTCTGCTGATTTCTCAGCCTCCGCAGTTCTCTCTTCCAGTCTTTTTAACTTTTCTTGCATATCCTCACTATGATTCTGCTGAGCAAGAGATGAGTGACCTGGAAAGAAAATTTCTGGTATGTTTACAATTCAACTAGGAATTCTATCTGCCATTAAGCAAGAGAGAAACACTTCAGAAAACATTAAAAAGGACATCTTAATTTTCTGCTCTTTTTAATTACAGAATTGCAAGAGACTACATATGAGAGGTTGGTTTTGTTTCCCCTCATTAGTCCTTCAAACAATAGTTATCATAAGTAAGTGCACACAAGGGACATCAGAATTTTTTCTGAATTGCATGCTATTACTTATTTTCAATTCCTGATGGAGCTGAGATTTTATATGTTATGCTCTAACTTTTACAGACCAGGTGTAGTTTTATTACCCACAAAACCCACTGAGGTAGTGTGGATAACTTCTTCATGAAAGTTTAATAACAGAAAATTAAGAAAAAAATTAAAGACTAAAATTACTCAAATACTGCAATTATTTTTTTTCTGTATTTCTTGAGAATAAAGAATGCACAATAAATTTGTGGTTTCTTATTTTCCCTTCCATAGACATTAATATAAAATAGTCATGTTACCTTTATCTTTTTGGAGATCATTTTTTAACTTCTCAATAACGAATGCATTTTTTTCCATTTCTTTGGTATACTGTTCAACTTGCTCAGTAAGCAATCTTATCTGAGCATCCCGCTCTTGCACACCCTACACATGAAAAAACCAAAAACTCCATTAGAGGATCCTTCTTTACTGAGAGGCAAACTACCAATACAGAACACCACACAGTAAATGAAGAAATTACATGTAGCTAATACAAAGCAATTTGTAGAACATCAAATATACTATACTTACAACAGAGAGTTCAGATATTATCTAGAAGTTTGGTATATAAATGCAAAGCAGGAAAAATAAAAGAAAAAGTAAAAATAAAGCAATCAAACACACAGAAAAAAAAGCACCTTAGAATAACAATTTTAAATGGAAACAGTACTTTCAGATTTTGTCAATGTTAGATGAAAAGTTTCAGATGATACATGTTCCTTCCTGCTTCCTCGCAAACAACTGCCTTTGGGAACTGAGAGATACAAGTTCAAGCTTATAAGGACTAACAATCAACCATACATGACACCTGAATTGCAGACTGCCTGTCAGCAAGTAATCTAATTTTTAAACATTCATCACACATTGTTTCGCATGCATATACGTTAATAAGTACATACAGACTGTGAAAGCGACTTCTATTCATATTACACTATTTCTGTGCTTGTACGTGAACTTTAGAAACAACATAGAAAGCTTAATGTTATTTTTTTCTGTCATGAATAAAAAAAGTGGAGACAGATAAAAAAGAGACTTGAAAAAAGTTACAGGTAGTAACAATAATGAAAATGTAAAAATCTCAAGATTGTTGTCCTTTTTTTATACTAATGTTCTGAAAAAGAAAATCTAAAGCTTTCTTAGAGGACAAATAACCACATTTCAAATCCAAAGGTACAGAGTTTAGGAAAGTTGTAAGGAGCTAAACACAGTCTTTTAGAGTATAAACATATATTGAATGATAGCAAGCTCAGTTCATTTGACTAAAAACACAGAGCAGTGCCTTGATTTAATTTTTAAGTGTCTGCTTATAAAACATGCTTATTTCCACAAAACAGTTCAGAATGTCATGCTAATGATGGTCACCCAAAAAAGCAACCTCTACAACCATCTAGTCTGCTAAAACCAAACTCTACAACTGCTTATCCAGGTTACTTTCAGCTGCCTTCCTCTTCTGATCATCTAAGGCTGATTTGTAATTTACGCTTCTTTCTCTTGAGAAGCTATCTTTGGAAGACTGAATAAATATATCTCACCGCATTGTTCAGTCTACAAGAACCCAAAATGTAACACAAATGTCATTAGACATTTTTTTAAAAAACTTGAAGCAAGGAAGGAAATTATCCTGGAATCATAGGGTGTGCTATGCATAATTAATATTACAAGGTTCCTAATGGGCCACATTATTTTGGGGTTTTATATGGTTTTCAAGACAGTGAGGACTTTCAGAATCACAAAGAACTATGTAATTTTGCATGAATATGAGAGATATTTATATTCAGCTAGCTCTATCATAGACTGAACCACAGATTCAATAGTATGCATCAGATCACAGTATCACACAATACTCTGAGTTGGAAGGAACCCACAAGGATCATCGAGTCCAACTCTTAAGTAAATGGTCCATACACATCAAGCCCACAACCTTGGTGTTATTAGCACCATGTTCTAATCAACTGAGCTAATCTCAGGATGTGAGACAAATGAACACAGAAAATTAAGCAATAGGTAAGACTCTTCCTTAACTAGCAAATTTAGGACAGAAACCAAGCTGTAACTTAATCACAGTTAAAAAAAGATAAATATGAAAGTAACAGAAGTGACTACCAAGAGTTCAGTTCATACATACATACATAAAGAGAACTTTCCTTTGTACATTGCCTATTAAGCTAACTCTGCAGTGGAATGAATTGAGCTGTCTCATAATTCTCAAACACAAATAATGCATATTTTGATATTTGCAAACTATGAAAAACTAAATATATGTTTGGTATTTGCATGTTTAGTGAATGGTGATTTCTATGTGTGCAATTTCTCACATGGACTGTACCTGCTGAAGGGCCAGTATGCTGTTTCTGTCGACATCAAGTTGAACTATTTTCATTTTCTCTTCTAAGTTAAACAACATTTGCTGATACTCTAGGATTTCATCATCTTTTGAAGCTAAGATTTTCTGAAAAGAAGATAAAATACCATTAGAACTCTTGAATTAATTCCTAAAAATCATAAAGAAAAGTATTAAAAAATACCTTCCACTCTTCAACTTTTTCATTTACAGCCGCCATAAGTGGATCGTCTTCCTCATTCTTTGCTTTCAGCTGGTCTGAAAGGTCCTGAACCTAGACGTGACATTTGGGTGAACATTGTATCACAGAAATGTTTGGCCTTAACCACTGTATGTGTACAAATGCACTACATCGAGCACATAAAATTTAACAGATTAGCATTACAGCAGCGAGGGAATGACTCTTAAGAACAGTGTATGACACATTGTGTAAAAAAAATTTTCGTGATCTTTTGTGTTTTAAAATCTGCATCAGATCCAAGGATCACACTACTTTTAAAAAGCATTATTTCAGAGGAGTGGGTGTTTTTAACTGGATGGATTGACTGTTATTTTAAGTTAAGCTAAAATATGAAAATACAGTATAAATCTAAAACAAAAACATTAAATAATGAGTCAGCTCTTACTTGAAATTTGTACTGATCTTTCTCTTTTCGTAACTGATCCATAATACTATCAGACTGTTGCACAATTAGTTTCATTTTGTTATATTCATCAGTCATCTTCTCCATTTCTTGCACTGATTCCTCAAGATTTTTCCTCATTTCTTGGTTTTGAATGTCTAACTTCTCATTAGCTTCAGTCAAATTCTGAAAAATTAAAGAAAAAGCTGCTTTTAGAAAGTGCCCATCTTAATATCTGAATGAGAACTTGAAAGTCTTACATGAAATTAGCACAGAAGAGAGGATTTCACCTCTAGGTCATCAATTTCAACAAATCCTAACAGCAAATAAAAGACACATCTCCCCTTGTCAGTGACTGCATTACCTTTGCCAGATTCGTAGGTGCAGAGTATATACATGACAGAACCCAACTACTTTATGAATTCCCTTGTTCCATGTGTCTCGATCTGTAAATTGACGTAGTGTCAAGAAAAACACTACTGTCAGTAAAAGTCTAATAGATACTCAATAGCATGCATAGATTTTTACCTGAATTTCATCCAAATACTGGACAAGCTCAGAGCTTCTTTTGGACAACTGTGATCTGTAATCAGAGTCCTCTCCCCTTCGTAATGGAATTGTTTCTTTTTGGGAATCTATTTGCCTCTGATAGTCAACTACATCCTGACGTAATTGTTCAGTCTGCATAAAAAGTAATCCAAACTTAATGTTATTTCTACAAGTTGAAGACAAAGTCATTGCAAGCTAACACAAAGAGCTAAGACATTCAAAACCCATCCAAATTCCTACAGTCTGCTTTTAAAAAAACTTAGAAGCCTCACCTTTTTCTTTATGCGCTTTTTCTTCATATTAAAAAGGAGAAAACAAGACCAAGAGAACAAAGCATGAAAAATATTAGAAACTAGCTTTGCTTTAGGAAGACTAAATATTAATTGACATAGAGACAAAATAAAATGGCTTTCTATATACCTGTGCACGCATGTACACACATACACACATATGAAAAGGGGTATTTTGACAAATGATTCAAAAGGTTTTACACCCCAGGACAATAATTAGACAAACGTACTTAGCAACAGTTTTTAAGAAAAATACTAAAAATTCAAAACATGAAATCCAAATTAATGCACAGTAGGACTATGCAAATTCGAACGTAGACGCCTCCTAACCTCCATTAACTAAGTTTCATTGGAGCACATATAGTACATATTTACTAAATTTAGTTAAATTTCTTTTTGTACCACTAACCAGGAATGTCCTAAAACAGAATTAAATATCATGCCACGCCAAAAATTATAAATATAGAAAGATAGCAATATATCTATAAATAAAGTTAAAAATACAGTAAATTGGCAACAATTTTTTGCTAACCTCTCTCCTGAATCTGATGTTTTCATTTTTGGCATCTTCCATTCGAAGAGCAAGCTACAAGAAGATGGAAAACCTTTACATGTCTCATAAAACACTACAAAGAACTCCAGAAACAAAAAAGGAAATAAATGCACAGCAGTCCTATTTCATCAATGTTTTCTTCTTAATTACAGAGGCTCTTTTCAGAAAATCAATTTTACAAAATATTTGACAGAACAGCTTTTAGAGATGTTAAGCTGAAGTCCTTATTACCTGTTCATTCACTTTCTTCTCTTTTTCCAGCTCTTCTTCTAGATCTGCTAACTGTCTCTCTTTTTGTTCTAATTGGTTTTGCAGTTGGCGCATCTCATCACGCAAAAAACGAGTATCGCGACCACCAGCAGATCTTTGTGCCTTCTTATGAGCATTAAAGTAACATTATAAATACAGTACAGATATTCAAAACAGAAAAAAAAATTAAAAAGCAAAGCAGATGGTAAGACAACAATAAATGGGATTTATTCAAGTATATAAAATACAAGTAATTACTCACACAAGACCAGCGAATATTGAAAAACCCATTAATAGAATTTGCTAAAGTGTAGGGCTATTTCATCTCTTTACAAGATTAAAATACTAGTCTAAAACAAGTCTTTTAAAAACCTCACCAAAGAGCACTCTATAAACTAACAAAATTTTAAAACATACCTCTAATTCATTCTGAAGTTTCATCATCTTTGTTTTAAAATTATTTTCTGTTAAAATAGAACAGATATAGTGAATTACTCAACAAGGCAGAAAGCACATAAAACAACAATGGTTAACCTCAATCTTTAAAAATTTGGCTTCATTGAAGAAATTGACTTCAGAGCAGTTGGTATTTTGTCCAGTTCCCTAAACTTAAAGAAAAAGCTACCAAAAAAACCCCATGAAATCCCAAAACAACCAAAAAAATCAAACCAAACCAAAACAAAACCCACAAAAAACCAACGACAACAACAATACTAAAAAATACATTTAACAAATCATTTAGGAACAGCATATTAAAGCTTGTTTACCACATTTGGCTTGCTCTTCCCCAGCTTTTTCAACTTCTTCTAGTGCCAGTTCTACCTCTTGAGTCTTCATCTGAGAAAAGTACAGTAAGCAAAAATATTTACTATTAACATAAATTAGGATTGTTCTGTACATCTCATGTTTAAAATGACGACAATATTTACAAAAGAACATAGACTTTCTTTAAACAAATCAAATTACTCCCATTTTTCCTTATGTGGACAATTAAGAAGTTCAGAGTATCTTCTTTAGTAATTCATTCTATAGGGACACCCAAACGTTCAAAACATTTACACTGCTGAGAATTAAAGGCAGTAAAACAGCCTCTCTAAAACCAATGTGCTACCCTATGCTGCTGTTATTTCTTCCTTTCGGTACATTTATGAATAAATACAAGAATGTATGGCAGATTTATAGGATCAGTTTTAGAATGGTGGTGTTTCTTCATGCATGGTGATAATTTTATTTGCTCTAAAACTTCAATGTCCCACAAAAAGTTCTATTAAATTAAAATCATTACAAATAACTTACAACATCTAACCAATTTTTGAGAAATTTGTTTGCATTTTCCATCTATATAACTATGTTAGTCCAATTCACTTCCCACTACTAAATGCCTACAGCTATATGCAGGTACTACAATACAATTGTAGTAATTGAGGATTAACACAAACCTTCAGTAGAGACTGAGTAATTTTAAAAAGATGTATCAGTTTTTCTGGAGTTTCAGTTTTTAAGTCTTTCCCATCAACCTAACGAAAGAGACAACAGTGTTTTTATACTAATATCTATGAAATCCACAAAATAAATCTTTCAGGTACGTGAAGGACCAGAGACAATTTAGGGAAGAACATATAACAAACCCTTATGTTCTCTTCTTCTCTTAAGTACCTTGGACATGGTCTCCAGCAATCTGTCTGCTAGTTCCTCTTGATGAGGCAGACTATCTGGATCAACTTTCATAAGCTTCTTCCAATCTAAAATAGGTGCCATACTGAATTTACGATTTTTTTCCTAAAACAAAAATAAAAATAACAGTTATCAAGTATTATCAGTGCCAGTCAATTTCAGGTCAAATGATTAAATGGAGGCTGGCCACTGAACCACACAAGATGATTCTATTAATTGTATCTATTTGTAACACTGATTAACACTTCGTTCACATTTTGAACTACTGCAAACTAGGAGGTCATAGTAAAACCTTTTTTCTTTAAGTTAAAAATTACACCATGCATACTCAATGAATTTTTGACACTAACAGTGAAGATCAGGACATCTGTGAAACCCATATTTTAACTTTAATATAGTTGTTTTCTTCCCCATCTCGCAATGTAGTATTTTTATGCTAATGAACAAACACAACTGGATGCCCCTTGAACCAGCCCTTGTAGGATAAACATCTCCTTACAGTCACAAAAATCGTTATTTCTAATATTTAAAAGACAACCAACACCTTCTTTAAGCTTGATACTGTGAGCACCCATTTCTTGACACTAATTTATAAGATATTAAACTCTTTCAGTTAAATATCGGGGGGAATTATTAGAATACTTGAATTGACAAAGGACATGAATCTACCTGGAAACTGACAAAAATCTGATCCGAAAGTGGTGGAAAGTTTTGTTCTACTGTTTACCTACTGCCTAAAAGCCAATACAGTGTCTGAAAAAGGCAGAAGAGATTGAATATCTCGGATTATTCTATCCTCTGGAGCTATCTCTAGCCTTTATGATCAATATTTCAAACAGTAAATTCTGCCAAATTTTTAACAGAGCATTTTTAATCTACTTATTCCCCTAAATTATTAACATGGTATAAATGCTCAAGAAATAATTTTCAATTATGAAAGAAATAAAACTAACCAGAATAATAAATTATTCAAAAAACTAATGTCAGAGCATTCTCTTTTATAGGAAAAAATTGAGCTCAATCAGTAGCTCTAACAATGCTCTACACTGAGCATGATATTTTGAGATCTCTTCCGTCATGTACCCTGTTCATTGTTCAGCAGTTGAAAGACTCAACAACTGAAAACTTCTCCCTTTATAAAAGGGAAATTTTTATTACTGGTATTACTTTGCCAAAAAAAATGCCTAAGCATTCTGAAAAGAAGAGCTGTAGGACCTTGAAATCCAGCTGTATGCTTAAGGGATGATAAAAATCAACCTTTCCTCATCTTTTCTCAATATGTGAACTAGTCAAGAGCTCTCCAATATTAACTATATTTCTTCAATGTTTGCTAAATATAAAACATGCATTATATATAATCCATGACTTCATAAGGATGACATCATATATAGATTTTTGCTTTTCTGCATTGTTGTAGGTGGCAAAGGATAATACCAGAAGAATATTGATCTTGGCACTTCTTCAGTTAATTGAATACTACTTGATTTCAATAACACACTTGTTTTATGATTGGAGTTTTTAAACACAGTCATTTTTTCTGAAATAATGAGATGTAGGGCTTACAAGTATGAAATGGCCAACAATCAAAACTATTCTGAAAGCAAATATACAACCTTACTACTGTCAATCCTTTCCTACCTTCCATCTTGCAAATATCTTTTTCTCTTAACTTACAAAATAATATCTGAAGAAAATGTCAGAAAATTTTATCCAAAAGGAGACATATCTGTACATAAACAAAATAATCCAACTTGTTGGGAGACCATAGGAAGGTATGGGGGGGGCACGACCTATGCATACAGTATGTTCTACAGTATGTACATACTTAAGGACAACAAGAGAGAATTTATTTAATTGAAGAGTTTTCCATCATAAAATTTAGCTCATCCCTTGCCTTCAGTTAAACCTGCGGCTTTAGTGGACAGATGATCTGTGTGATGAGACACTGAGATCAGGGGTCTACAAAACGAGTGAAATAGATATGCATGTGACATTAGTTATCACAAGCCTTTCTTGACTTACTCAAGGAATCAAACATACATAAAATGGGTAGATGTTGCAAAGTGCAGCACGGGTAGATAGAAAAGATCTGGTGAGTGTGTTCAAGTACGATCAGACCAACAATTCCCATGCTGCCTAAAGGAAACCACGTAAAGAGGCAGCTAAGCTGACAGGATGATACCTTATCAACACAGTGAAATCAAGCACCAGTAGGCACAGCTGTTCTTTTTCTGCAAAGGTGTGTATAATGGCCAGCACAGAGTCATGTACACTTGAGCAAGACTGAATACCAAGAAGCATCATAGTCACAAGGCTAGCTCAGTATTTATTTACTATGGGCAACTCAGATTAAGCTACTTCTGGACTTTCAAATTGCACTACCTGGCCCAGCTCTCTGAAGCACGAGATCTTAATTGCAAAACCCCAACCAAAAGAGGATCTTTTGCAGGGTTCCAGTTTTCTCCCAACTGGTATATATCCCAGCCCCAGCAATGATACACTGACAGCCCGCGATCCCTCCAAGATGCTGCCTCCGTTTCATCCAACTCTGATGAACTAACAAGTTGCCTTATTTTCGGCCGCCTTCACCACGAGACACAGCTGAGGCATCAGCCGAGTACAGCCCCAGCGGGATGTGCCTTTCCCGGGCTCCGCACTGGGACGCTGCCCAGGCCCCGCGGCCGCCCCCGCCTCCCCCGGCCCGGCTGCCCGCCAGGTCTGGCTCTCCTTCCCCGGAGCACCGCCCGCCCCTCGGCCTCACCGCTCCCGGGAGATGGCGGTGGCCGCTGCCAGGCGACGCAGTCAGACTCTCCCGCCAGCTCGGCTCCCGTACACCCGGGTACTCATAGGCGCAGGGAAAGTCGGCACTCCCGCAGCACCCACAGACAGGCGCCGCGGTGCCAGGCGGGCGCTCCCCGTTCCAAGGGGCGGGCAGGCAGGGCGCGATCCCGCCCGGGCGCGCCGCGCCGCTCCGCCGGGGCAAGGATGCCGAGCGCCACCCGCGCCGCCGGGCGGCTCCCCGGGACTACAGCTCCCGGCAGGCCTCGGGGACCCCGCCCGCCTCCTTCCCAACAGCCTCCGCGGGGCGGAGGGCGGTGGCGGTGGCGGTGCGCGTGCGGCGGGGGCTCCGGCGTCGGGAGCAGCCGCGGTGCGTCCCGCGGACTCAGGTACGGCCTCGGGTACGGCCGGCAGCGGGCGGGCTGGGGGCAGGTCCGGTGCAGCTGCTGCCCGCGGTCGTTTCGGTCCTCTCCCCGCTGGCCGTGCCTGCCGGGCCGCAGCGGTGCGCCCTCCGGGCCTGCGGGGCTGCGGTGCGGCTTCGGCCCCTTGAGCATAGCACGGGCCCGCCCCGGCTCGGCCCTTCCACCGCTCAACCCGGCCTGGCGTTGTGTGCCTCGACCCAGGGTTGCGGGCGGCATGCTCATTCCTGCTCGGCCGCTGGAGGCCTGCGGGACTGCGCGGGTGCCTTGTGTGTAAGTGTGGAATAGCGGGGGCCCAGGAAGTGTTTATTCTGCGGAGTGAAGTAGTGCACCAGACAGGTAACATCTATAAACTGGTCGAATCCATAGGGTGCTGGTGACCAGCAAGACAGTTCGAGCTTTAGTAGTGGTCTGATAGCCCCAAAAGTTAGGGGTCTTGTGTTTTAGTTAAATGGGTGTGAAGGCATCTTTTCCAATAAACAAGGAAAGCCAGCAACCATTCGAGACGTGTTTATCTCTTTGTAGTTGTTCATTCAACAGCTGTGGAGAGCTGAAGGGGATTTGTTGGTTTGTTTTGTTTATTTTTTTTCTTAATGGAAAGGGGAAGGTGATCATAATATTATCTTTGTGCTTTTACCCTTTTCCTGGGTTATTCATTGCTTTAATTTTCTTTGCTGTTTCTTCATTAGTGTTGATATTTAATGGAGGCTGACAAGATGCAAGATGCTTGGCGCTCCTTATAGTTATGCAACTTGTTCCAGTCACAACATAGCTCTTAGATTAAAAGTGAAGACTTTTATACCATATCTAGAGTTGATTAATTATAGTTCCATATTGGCTACAAAAAGCAAACTGTAGTTAGGGAAGGGAAAGAGACTAGATTATATTTCATGAATGGGTAATGTTACTAAAATAAAATTCGTTTTGGTTAAGTGTAGAACAATTTCTTAGTAGTAGTGACTTTTATAGGTGGAACAAGTGACACACTGAGAATAATGGTGCCTTGCTACAAAATAAACTTTCAGGAAATGGATCCTCCTGTGATAGAGAAAATAATTCATTGATGTTAGGATACTTAGCTATAGGAACTTCTTTGTTATCCTCTTCATCAGGTTAACAAACTGTTAAGGCCCGTATAGCTATTTAGTGTGCTCTATTTAATGTGCTTCAGCGTTTTTTAGTGTTCTATTACACAATCAACAGAAAACACACCATTACATATCCTGGTAGTGAAACCACATCTAGGTTCTAATTGCATCTAGTAAGAAGATTGGTGCAGGAATTGGATTTGAGGCGGGCCTGGAAACTCCAAAAGTGAAAAAAGAGTTAAAAGAATGGAGATGTTAACCCCACAAAAAATAAGAAAACGCTTAAAATACAGCATGGCTTAAACCAAGTGAATTAGTTTTTCTTTTGTTCTGCATCACATCTAATCACCTGATGAACTTTGCATAAGTGGATCTTCTTTTATTGGGAATATGTGCTTGTAGTTTGGGAGCAAAAGTTATTTTATGTCCATAGATCACAGTATGACCTACTCTGATTGACAGGAGAGTTAGGTGTCTGTGTTAAACTGCAGTTTTGATAACACTATGCTATTGCAAAGACCTTTGATATGAAAGATCTAATGGAATGTTATATAAAATACCACAAGAAATTATATACAGACCCAGCATACTAAATAAGGACATGCTTAGCAGAGTCTGAAAGCTGTGTTTCCAGCTTATACCTCCCATGTAGCTTTTGATTGTTTATTCTTTGGAGTTAACAAACATGCAGCTTCTGCTGTTGTATTTCTAGAACACTGAGAGTGTTCTAGATCCGTGTTATTTCAGGGATGCTATTTTTGCATCAGTGTCCTATGAGGAGGCAAAATATTTTTTATGTAACTACTCAAAATAGAACAGGTGTTATTTTGTTACTGTTTGAATGTAGCAAAAAAACCTCAACCCTAGAAAACCTGAAGGTATAACTTTGAAATGTGAGATTCTGTTAATGATTTAAGTTATAAAATACCTTAAAATACAAACTAGACCTGTGTGGTTTGTTTTTCAGCTGCTTTGTACCAGTTACATTGAACAAATTTAAGCTAAACCAGCAGCTAAATCAGTATCTTCATCTCACCAACTTTAAATTTGTGTTATGTTTTGATACTTGTACCAGAGTAACCTAAAATGTTCTGAGTGTTAGTTCAGCTGCTTGGTTGCCAGCAAGCTCTCCAGTCTTCCCCTTGGGAAATCTCTCATCTGGCCTGCAACATGTTCTGACTTCGTTTCAGAGCTGCCAGTCCTCTTCTGATTGATCCTTCAGAACCGTATGAAGAGAAGGCTGGATGGCATTGTCTCCTGGGTAGTGAAGATTACTTCGTATTAATCCCATCCCTCTTGATCTGGTAGTATTTGCAGAGGAGGGCTTTCACAATAAAGCTTTTCTTTCTACACCTTATTCTCTTCTAGGATCTCAGCAAAATGAAAGGGGAATCCAGGCATGCTTTGTATTATTTCTCCTCCCATCTTCCCAAATACTGCTTCCCTTCTAGATCAGATTCAGACTCAATCATTTAAATCTCAACTGTGCATCTAAGTTGTTTTGCATTTGAGTTGTACGTTAGAGTGACATTTTTAAGTGAAGATAAATTTAATGGCTGTGTTGGAAAGGGACAACAGAAACAAAGTTATGATTTCTGTCATTAAACACTTGTATCAAATCAGCAGGAAGAATGTTCAATTTAGCCCAAAATAAAAATATGCAAAAGTTAGTAGGATATTTAGCAGAGCCTTAGAAGCTGAATTAAAATGCTAGTTTTAAGTGACTGCACTACTGGTTTATATATATATCTCTGCTGATATTCATCAGTTCAAGCCACCACCTCTTAGATGAACTTATTGCTCAATTGTTTAAAAATAAAAAAATTTAAATTTGGGAGTGGCTCTTTGTTTTCTTCCACCTTTGATGGATTTCTGTTTGAACTGTAAATACGTTTTAAACAGTTCAGGACCTTCAGTGGTTAGCAAAGTTTATGTCTCTGTAGTGAATAAATTTCCAGAAATGCCTGACTATTTTTTTAGCCAACAGTCATAACACATGTTTTATTAATGACCTTCAGGGTGTAAAAAGTGCCATTACTCCCTAGAAGAAAAAATTTAAATGTATGTTTTAAGTTTCTGAAGTTAGATAGTAAGATGTGCCTTACCATCTGACTTACTAACACAAATATATTTGCTTCTGTGAGGGTCTGTTAATATAATGTGACAGATAGCATGATTATTAGCTGATAGCTAATTATGGAGTGCTAAATAGCTTTTGCATGTTTAGGGATTGCAACTCCATTCCTGCCAAAATATACACTTCCTATTTTTTTCTAAATTGATATGGGTAGAAAATGTCTTCTGCACTCCCAAATTTCCCAACTGAGGATACTTTTAGAACATCATTATGCCTTTTTTTATTTGTGTTGGAGTTTTTCTGTGCAGACTACTGTGTTTTGCAGCATGTAGTGCTGAACCATCTATAGTGTCATGGGTTTAGAGTAGAGAAATATTTTGTTTTCCTACCTTTCTAAAAGTGCTTTGGCTTTTGGTTGTTGTTGGTTGGTTGGGTTTTTTGTTGGTGTATTTTTTCAGTTTTACAGGGTTTTCTTATGTCTTGTTTGTAATTCTTGAAGGAGAAGACTGGATGAATTGTTAGAGGGATCTCAAGAAGTTGGAAGAGGAAAACTATATGCCTTACAAGCCAAACTGCCTTGAGAGTTCTGGTTCTCTTTGGTCCTTTCCACTTAATCTCTCTGTACAAACATGGAAACAGTGCAGTGCAAAATGCAGATTTCTGTGCCAAACAGCTTAAGAAATTTAGACCAACGATCGGGTGTTTTGCACAGCTTGGGTATTTTTGACACAGTTGGCTCTCATGACTGTGCAGTTTCTACCTCTCAAGGCTTATCTTGCTGTTTAATGTTTTCAGCTGTGTATTCCTCATGGCATGGTCAGATATTGTTGTAAATTAGAGCATCCAACAGAGGTCTTTGTAATGTGTCTGTCCTGAGTTCATCCAGTCAAACAGTGGCTCTGTGTCTGTGTACTAGACCATGAACTGGCAGTCATACAGCCTAGAGGGTGGTTAAGGTATCTGATGGGCAGCCTTAGAAGCTGTGAAAGTAGCAGGTAGGTAAGATGAAAAAATGACTTGAGGGATTGTCAGTCTGTTTACATGTGTAGGACTTTCAGTGGTTATCAAACAGTGATGCAGTTCTCCCTCGCAGCAAGTCTGTGTTAAGAAAGGAGTTGTTAGGCGGTATTTTACAAGAGTTTATCAACACATCCATCACTGGGAGTGGTGAAATACTGGCACTTGCAAGACGATACTTGGGTTGATCAACATGTCTGTTGGGTAAGAAGGGGAATGTATCCATTCACTTGAGGAGCCCGGTCATACCAAGGCTTCAGCAGCCTCTTGCACATCTGTGATTTATGAGGTTCTCAGTCTTGTGTACTCCTTACATGGTTTCTTAGTTTCCAGCATCAAAGTGATAACAGATTAGTTGGCATGAGAAGAGTTTTGGTAGCAATTGCTGTTTTCTACTTGAGATTAATGGCAGGCATACTTTAGCCTGGCTTACCAAGTACAGATGAGCTTTTACAAGCCTCCCTCTGCTTTAGTTTTGCATTCTCAACATGTTAATGATGATTGCAGGTTTGAAGCTTGGAGTGTGATGGTGGACCCAGCAGGAAGTAGTAGTTCTACTACAAAACATAGTTGAAGGAGCTAATAAGATTGATTAAGCTTTTCCTTTTGATAGGAAGCAATACTTGGGAATCGGTCTTAGTTTTTTGCTAGTTGGGTAGCAGTAGCTGTTTCTGAAAAGTATTGCTAAAGGATTACCACAATTTCTCTTTGATACGCAAGCAGTAACTGCAAGGGCTTGATGCTTCAACCAATACAGTAAATTCATGTTGTTAATACCTCAGGTCACCAAAACCCTACTTGTTTTACAATGCTGTTTCTTAAAGGGTGAATTTAAATAAACCTTAAAATTGGTTCTGTGCGGCAATGTTATCTTTTCACAGTATTTTAAAAAATAAAGGCTTGTATGTTGGAAAATCATTACATATTGATTTTAGGTGCTTTTCAGATGTCAGTGCTTTTCAGTAGAATTAGTGACCTTCAAGAAGTAGAAAGCACACTATTCAGAAGCTGTTGCAAAAATTCTAGCAGAGAGAGAAACATCAGTTTCTTATCCACGTCCTTTGAAAGGGGGGGAACTAAAATACTTTAAGTTGAAGTTCAAAAGTGGACCGTCTTTTCATGTATTCCTGCAGTATGATTTGTTTTCTTTTTTTTTTTTTAATAAGATATCTCTGGTTGCCAAGAAGACTGTAAATATGTTCAGGTGTAATCTTGGCTTAGTGTTTTAAAGTGCTCTGAGCCCATGGTAGGGTCATTGGAATTAGATGATCTTTAAGATCCCTTCCAACCCAAACCATTGTATGATTCTATGAAACAGATGTAGCAACATCCTTTAACATTGTTTTGGGGTTTTTTTACTAGAAAAGTAAAAAAAACCCTTCACTGCCATTATGTGAGTAATAAGGAATGGTTTGGTTTCATTCCTCTTAAATTATCTGTGTCCTGGTTTTTAGTTTAACTGCACCAGCATCTTGCTTCACATGTATTCCTTCCTGTACCACTACTCCTTTGCCCCCAGTTGTGGTAGGTGATTGACATGCTCTCAGGTCCAGGCTGCAAACCACAACCAAAGTCACCTATCTAGATGAGATCTCTGTGGCCTGTTCTTAGAGTTTAAGAAGGGTTTGGACAATGCTCTCAGGCACATCGTGTGATTCTTGGGGTTGTTCTGTGCAGGGCCAGGAATTGGACTCAGTGATCCTTGTGGGTCCCTTCCAACCCCAGGTATTGTGTGATAAATCTGCACAATTAAAAAAAAAATCAGCAAACCAAAGGAAAAAAATATCACCAGGATTTCAGGGTTTAGGATGGTAAAACAGACTACAACTTCTGAAGAGCTCATCAGCTTTGATGTGTGAACCCTGATAAACATAAGGCTGGGGTTTTACGTATTTATGGCTCTGCATTATCTGGCTAATGTTAGCTGCTCTGTGTCCCTTTGTAGTTTGGGGGAAAATATTTTTTGTTCAGTCATCTCTTCTTTTTCTCAAAATGAAGTAATTGTTTAACTCTCTGTAGCTTTTCAATATCTTTGGTCCCAACGGTTGGCAGTGATCCATGCTGTGTCAACCAGTGGTCAAAAATAATACCTTTGACCTGTAGTTACCTTCTTATTCTTCCAAGGCAGAACAGTAATTTAAAACAACACAATACACAGTAATTTCACCTTTTGATCAGTTCACCCACATAGTGTTTTGTAAATAATCATAATATTGCTGATTAATAATTTCTAGGGTTTAGGAAGTTTATGCAAGATGAGAGAAAATAATGTAAGCTAAAGTTCATTTGTAGTGTCTTTTTTGTATCTATTTTTTTTAGACAGGACTCTCATGAACAGTCAGTGACACCAGAACAATTGGCAGAGTGGTGGGAAAAAATGACCTTTTCATGAACTTCTGTGAAGAATGCAAATGAGCAAGGTTTGAGCTTCGATGGTAAATTTAACTTTTTAATTATTATTAATGTCCTTTACCTATTGAACATGTATATTTATGAACTTCTTGAAGTTTCCTGTTTGATCTTCTGATTATTTGAAATTTGTTTTTGTTTTAATTACTTCTGAAATATTTTGAAAAACAACTTTAAACCTAAACCCTATCAATAATTAAAACATATGCGTCCTGTAACTTAGAATTTTGTGTCAATATTTTAAATTACTCAGGATTCTAGAGAACTTAATTTTCATAGTTCTTCAGTTTGCAGCATTTGCTTGAACTGCATAGCTGTCTGCAAAAACTACATCACAATATGTTATCAATACTTTTTTTTTTCTGTAAAAGATGAAAGATAGCAGTGTATCCACCTTCTGCAAAGGCTTTTTAAGGGTGAGACTTCTTAATGAGAGTTTTTAAACACTAAATTGTGTAACATGCATGAAACTTGAGGAAAACTTTCTATCTTACTGATTTTTAGGTAGGTAGTGTCATTAACTTATAAAATACTGTTTTAATTTCACTTTCTTTGTCAAGTTTAGTTTCTAATTACTAAAATTACTTAAGTTTCTGTCCATGTATTTCAGCTTTTGTCCATGAAAACTCTTAGAGAAGATGGCTGATGTAAGCCTGAAGGAAGCAGCACTGATAGTTGGTGTGGTGGCAGCCTGCTACTGGAACAGTCTCTTTTGTGGCTTTGTTTTTGATGATGTCTCAGCAATTTTGGACAATAAAGATTTGCATCCTTCTACTCCATTAAAAAATCTTTTTCAAAATGACTTCTGGGGCACTCCCATGTCTGAGGTAAACTCTTTGTAAAACACTTTGAGGCTTTAGGAAATGAAAAAAAACAACACCCTTGCAGAGAGTTTTTCCACTTCTTTCCCTAATGTGATTTTAACAGAATATTTTGGATTAGACGGAATTTGGTGGTGTTAGTGTTTCGTACTATAATATCAGGAACATATGTTGCTTATATTCTTTCCCTTTGTTTACTAAAAGAACTGGTAAGAATAGTCGTGTGTATGTATATATATATATATATAAATATATATATATAAAGTTGTATAGACAGCACACAGCTGCAAAATGCTGATTACTATCTAATTCCAGTATCAAAATTACACAACTCTGACCAGTTTCTCTTCCTTGCAAAAGTTATATGTTGACATACAGGGATATTTATTTCTAAATGCAGTCTGGAAGGAAAGATAACACTTAAGAAAGCTTGGACTTAGAGAACAGACACTGAATCCTTTAAATTTATTTGAGTAAGTGTATCTGTGTGAAATCAGAGTTTCTGCTTTGTAGCCCATGTAGAGTGGCTGTGTTTTATCTGAAAAGCTACATTGGCATTGAAGTTGTTGATAAACATCATTACATGGCAAGGGCTAAAGGATTTAGATACAGTTTAAAAAGTTACACGTGGTGCCATTGCTGAGCAAATGAACAAAAATTCTCTGACAGTCATAGGTTTTCTGCCTATCAGGGTATTCCACCGTATAATATTTTCTTATGTCAATAACATGCTTGTGAGATACTAATTGCTAGCTCTGTGAGTAGACTTTGATACATAATTTTCATATAACCCTTTAAGAAGAGCTTCCAGATTCTTTCACTTATTTAGTCCTGTATTCATTGAGGGTTAAGTGGGTTCCCCTAACTCTCTCAGTAAAGTTCCGAGTAGTATTTTTCAACGTGTCGTTTCTCAAAAAAAATCCCTAACCATGTGTAGTAGAAAAAAGCCATCTCATTCAGTGTTGATTTTGCACTTAAAACCAACTGAAAGTCATCTTAAATTAACTAAATTAAGTCAGATTAATTTGATTGTTCATGGCTTTTAGAATACTTTTTCTTATTTTGTGGTTTTGTCTGTCTGTTCAGTTTGATTCGCCTTCCATCTGTTTTGTTCCCCATCCCACCTCCCATTTTTTTCTTAGATTTTCTTCCTTTGTTTTATGGACAAATTCATCAAAATATCAATAGGCTGTTTTGTTAACAAATGCATTTTGGAACATGAAGGTGGTGTTATTGTAGTATTTAAAAGGGTTTTGGGATGGAGTCAGTGGCAACATACACATATTGACTGGTAGATATATTGCAAATATGTAAATAATACATTTAGCTCAGTATGCCACATTTTTATTTTATAAAATACTGATCTAAAACATGAAATTGGAGAGTAATCAAAATATTTGAATAATACATTAAAACTATGTGAAAGTAGGAAAAATAGTCAGAATTAACTTTTTCTGCTTAACATTGTAATTTTAAATCAGATTTTTATTGAATTAACTAGATTTTTTATTTTTTTTCCTATTACCAATTGTGCCTTTATTTTGAAAGTAGATGCTTGAGAACAGAGGGAGAGTCATGTATGCATAGGTTTTTAGAAAGGTATCTTGGAGTGAAAGTCACTTTGTAAGTTGGTGGTGACTGATTGATTTGTTTATTTTCTTTTAGGAGAGGAGTCACAAATCTTACCGTCCCCTTACAGTTCTTACGTTTCGCTTAAACTACTTGTTCAGCGAATTAAATGCAGTTTCGTACCACTTTCTAAATCTGGTCTTTCATGTGGTGGTTTGCATAGTCTTCCTCAAGGTCTGTAAGCTCTTTCTGGACAACAGGAGCAGCATAGTTGCATCCTTGCTCTTTGCAGTGCACCCAATACATACGGAAGCGGTAGGTATAGCTGTGATGGGCTTAATTTGTTCAAGCTGTGTTAATTAAACTTTGTGGGATTTGTTTCTAAGTTTGTATATATGTTGTAACTCCAGAAAATGTGGTTTTACTCATACTTACTCTTCCCTTTGCAATGACTGGTGGAAGTGACAAATTTTAATGCTCAAAGTTGTTTTATATTACTTGCAGCTACTGAAAAATAAAGAAATGTTAATTTAGTTATTAAATAACTTAGGTCTCTGCTATGAACATTGGCTTTTGTGGTGATGACTACTTTAGTTTACATAGACATGTTCCAGGATGATTCATCCAGTATCCTATTTTCAAATACTCTGAATGCCTCCTAATTCATTTCCAGAATCAATAAGCACTCCCCTCTGGCTAATCACCAAGTCTATTCTGCCTGCTTTCTTTTATGTCAATATCTCTATCTCAGTGTGACTTTCTCTGGGATTGTTGTTGCTAACGCTACATCCAACTTAGGGCCATTCTGTTTAAACCTTCCATTTTTTTAACATATATGATAGAAGGAAGAAGAAAGATGTTTCTGTCCTGTCATATTTCCTGTGGTTCTGAGGGAGTTTTTCACTGCTATGAAAAGCTTTGTTTGTACAAACTGTCTGATTATATACCTTTTAATGGCCAACCAAACTTGCAGCGTTGTGGAGTAAATGAAGTCTTGCGATTGCCATTAACTAGATGTGTTTCCATCAGAAACACTGATAAAGCAGATTTGTGGCATTTTCTGCTGTTATTTCTGCATCACTTCAATTGGCTTTCCTCGATTCCAGTACAGAGGTTTTGCAAAGCCCTTATCCAGTCTCTTTTTTTCTTACAGCATTAGCTGATTTTCAGAAAACTGAAAATGTTTGAATCTTTTGATTCTTTGGAGGTGTTGTCTTTTTTATGTGAAGAGTTTGCATCTCTCTTTTAATCAGTAACAACACAAATCCCTGTCAGTTACAATTCAGAAAACTGCATCCATGTATTTTGAGCAAATCTTTATAGGAACTGAGTTGAGTTTAAAATTGGCTGCTATTCGAGCTACTAATATATCCTTACTAGAAGTTAGTGGAATGTTTAAAAATGCAAAAGTTAACCATCTAAAAATTTTTGCTTGTTCCAAAGCAAAAAAAATGTGTTTATTTCTTTAGGTTTTCTTGCTCTTTGAAAAAACGTGCTTTAAATTTCCATGTTTGGCTTTGGGTCTGTGTAATAAATGTGATAGTATCTTTACAGGAGCATTAGCAACTTGCCAGTGACTAATATTGGTGGGTCATGGCTTAGATCTGACTATGTAATTTTATCACTTTCATTCCAAATTCAGTGATTCCTTATTATGCTTGAACTGTTAATTCTGTCTGAAATAACAAGTTAACACAAGTGCTTTTATACTGTGCATCAGAGTTAGCAAAAAGTATTATACAAATCCTATAACACAATCTGTAACAAAAGCTACTTGTGTAAGGCAATGTGTTACATAGTTACTGTGTAAAGCCTGATATCAGCCACATGAGGGCACTGTAACACTGGGATTGGTGGAACTTGGACGTGTGCTTGAAATATTTAGTGTGAGGTTTAAAGGGCAATTGTAGCTGAATTCCCCTGCTGTTGTACTTAACTAGTCAATGAAGAATCAGTTAGAGGGTTTTCTTCTGCCTACCCCCATCTTTTTCAATTTAGAAGTAGTGTATTTTACTGCTCTGAGAAGTAGTGTATTTTATCCTTACATATGTTTGTATTGAGAATTCTGCTTAATATGCAACCAAGAATTTGTGGAGTTGGCAGTTGTGACTTGTACAGATGTATAAAAGGCAGAATAACTGGCAGTTTCCATGCATGGAAGAGAGGAGCTAATAATGAGACTTGCGTTAGGGCTGGGGATTTGGGTCCTGACTGACTTACTCAGGTTTTAGTGAAAACTCCAAACCAGATCTCACTTCCACATTTTATGTCATTTGATGGCATAGAATCATAGAATCATAGAATCGATTGGGTTGGAAAAGACCTCCGAGATCATCGAGTCCAACCCTTGGTCCAAATCCAGTCCATTTACTAGATCATGGCACTCAGTGCCACGTCCAATCTGCATTTAAAATCTCCAGGGATGGTGAATCCACCACCTCTCTGGGCAACCCATTCTAATGCCTGATTACTCTCTCTGTAAAATCCAACTTAAATTTCCCCTGGCGGAGCTTAAGCCCGTACCCCTTTGTCCTATTGCTGAGTGCCTGAGAGAAGAGACCAACCCCCACCTGGCTAGAACTTCCCTTCAGGTAGTTATAGACGGTGATGAGGTCACCTCTAAGCCTCCTCTTCTCCAGGCTAAACAACCCCAGCTCCCTCAACCTCTCCCCATAGGACTTATGCTCCAGTCCCTTCACCAGCCTTGTTGCTCTTCTCTGGACCCGCTCCAGCACCTCAATATCCTTTCTGAACTGAGGGGCCCAGAACTGAACACAATACTCAAGGTGTGACCTCACCAACGCAGAGTACAGGGGAAAGATCACTTCCCTGGTCCTGCTGGCCACGCTATTTTTGATATCTTTGATATCTTTGTGTCTTTTATAATTGAAATGTACCTGGTTTAAATACCTTCAAATTAATTTCCTACTTATTAGTCACCTGCACAAGAGTTTGAAACAGCAGATGCAATACATAAATATTTCAACACTTTTTGCCTATCTTAGGATAAACATATTTTTCCTGGAAAAGTTAGCAGAGCAAGATAGATAGAAATTAATTTTTTGTTTGACTTCAGGGAGTAGTAGGCTCTTGCAGTGGTAATATCTAAGTTGTGATGAAATAGGTTGAATAACAGCACTGTTTCTAGCTACTTTGCTACTGTTCTGGCCAGAAGCATGTTGATCACCTTTATAGCTACAAGATGTCAACTAACAGTGTGAATGCTGGAATTTTCTCTCATAAATCACCTTTGTATTCAAAAATAGAATCTCTTTTGTTGGCGGGGGACCCTGGAGGCACACCAGCACACTTGCTTTACTAATGATCTCCCAACTGATCTACAGATAAAGTTTTCTTTAATGTCTGTCTTAATGCTGGGCAATTTTGAGATCCAGACCAGGAATCCTTGAAACATCTTAAGATATTTTGGAAACAAACACCTACATACTATTCAAAATGTTAACACAAACTCTGGTGTCTTACCAGTGTTTGTGCATGATTTGGTGACTTGTTTAGTAAACATACAGTGCTCAAAAAGAAGCACTAGTGTATGATTTCAGATTCAGATTTGAATGGTTATCTTTACACTGTGACCTTGGATATTGAGTTACTTTCTTATTTTACGCTGTGCTGGATCAATCATGCTTGACCAAGAATGTACCTAGCAATAAAAATTTTGAGCTGGGACTGGACAGCAAAAAGTCAGGTTTCAACATCATCATAGTTAAAGCATGAGCTATGAGGTTTCCTTAGCTGAATACGACCATCTACCTCAGGATAGTATGCCATTTTTCAGCTATCTTACTTGCAAAAGTTTGGAAGCAGTCTGAGGCATTACAGAAGAGGACAAGTGAGGAGGAACAGTAGTCCTAGAAGGTACTCTGGTCAACACAGTGGCTACTGCAGTAACCATTAATATAGTGATCTGTCTTCCATCTCTGGTTGGTTTCACTTCAGTGTTTTTTGAAAACAGTTCCTGAAATGGAAATTAATCTGTATTTCATTGGGGATTCTGAAACAACCTTCTACCCTATGCGTTTTAGCACTTCTCCAGATTTTCATAAAATCCATTCCTGTCTCTCTCATTATCAAGGGGTCACTACCTGTAATTTTTATATTGCCAACCAAATTTTCATTCAGAAAATTGCCAGACCTGTGGTAAAGCCTGAGTCATTCTTTAACGTTATTGCACTTGGCTTCCCATCAATTTATTTGTGACTGTTGACTGCTCACCTGAGAGCTGCCATAGCACCGGTTGAAGGAATGCTGCTTTCAGATTCAGATCTGTTCAACCAGTTAGAAAAGCTACAAACAAAAATAACAATCACAGCTTCTGTGAGTTGTTGTGAGGCTTCTCTTAGAACTCCTATTGATAAAAGCTAATTTCTGCCAGGTATTATGAAATCAACAGTTGTTACCATGGCCAAATTCTGCCTTAAATGCTATTTATGATTAAAGTTAAGGGAAAGTACAGCATTTTTCAGTTGTATCATTAATGGTTGTACTTAAACTAAGTATCAGCCACAGTTGGCCACCAGCCACCTGTATGATTTTTGTTCTTGAATTTGGTACTGATTGAACTGAAAGCAGCATTACTCTTCTGAGCCTTTTTTTGCTTGCTTTACAGATCTCTTTTCTGCGTATCCTGATAGTGTATTAGTCATGATACTATCAACTAGAAGAACAGAAACATAGAATGGTTTGAATTGGAAGGGACCTTAAAGACCATCTAGTTCCAACCCTCCTGCCTTGAGCAGGGACACCTTCCACTAGACCAGGTTGCTCCAAACCCCTTCTAACCTGACCTTGAACACTTCCAGGGATGGGGCATCGACAACGTCTCTGGGCAGCCTGCTCCAATACTTCACCACCCTCACAATAAGGAATTTTTTCCTAATATCTAATCTAAACCTACTTTCTTTGAGTTTGAAGCCATTCTTGCTGTCCTGTCACTACATGCTCTTGCAAATAGTCTCTCTCTGTCTTACTTGTGGACTCCCTTCTCGTATTGGAGAGCCTCAATTAGGTCAGCTCAAAGCCTTCCTCTTCTCCAGGCTGAACAGTCCCAGTTCTCTCAATGTTTACTTGTAGGAGAGGTCCTTCATCCCTTCAGTCAGTTTGGTCGCCCTCCTCCGGACTTGCTCCAACAGATCAATGTCCTTCCTATGCTGGGGACCCCAGAGCTGGATGCAGCACTCCAGGTGGGGTCTCACTAGAGCAGAGTAGAGGGACAGAATCCCTTCCCTTGACCTGCTGGCCACGCTGCTTTTAATACAATCCAGGACACAATTGGCTTTCTGAACTGCAAGTGCACATTGCTGGGTCATGTTCAGCCTCTCATCCACCAGCACTCCCAAGTCCTTCTTGGCAGGGCTGCTCTCAATCTGTTCATCCCCCAGCCTGAATTGAGACTGGGAGTTGCCCTGACCCAGATGCAGCACTTTGCACTTGGTCTTGTTAAACTGCGTGAGGTTCCCATGGGCCCACTTCTCAAGCTTATCCAGATCCCTCTGGATGACAACCTATCCTTCAGGTGCGTCAACTGCACCACTCAGCTTGGTGTCATCTGCAAATCTGCTGAGGGTGCACTTGATCCCTTCATCTGTGTCATTAATGAAGATTTTAAGTAACACTGGTCCCAGTACGGATCCCTGAGGGACACCACTTGTCACTGATGTCCATCAGGACTCTGAGCTGCTAACCACTACCCTCTGGATGCAACCATCCAACCAATTCCTTATCCATCCAACAGTCCACCCATCAAATCCATCTCTCTTCATGTTGTGGGAGACTGTGTCAAAGGCTTTACAGAAGTTGAGATAAATGGCATCTCTGGTCCTTCCCTTGTCCACTGCTGTGGTCATTCCATCATAGAAGGTCAGTGTTGGTACAGACAGACTTGCCCTTGGTGAAGCTCTCCTGGTTTTCTCAAATTGCCTTGCTGTTCTCCATGTGCCTTAGCATAGCTTCTAAGAGGATCTGTTCCATGATCCTCCCAGGCACAGAGGTGTGACAAGTCAGTAGTTCCTATGGTCCTTCATTCTACACTTTTTAAAGATAGGTACAATATTTCCCTTTTTCCAGTCACACAGACTTCATCTTGCTGCCGTGACTTTTCAAATATCGTGGAGATATGCAACTACATCGGACTCCCTCAGGACTCTGGAATGAATCTCATTGGGTCCTATAGACTTATGTGTGTTCAGGTTCCTCAGTGGTCATGAACCTGACCTTTACTTAGAGGAGGAAGCACTTTGCTCTCCCAGTCCCTATCCTGCTGTCTGTCTACTCAAGAGATGTGGCAAGAGAGGTTGTCATTGAAGACTGAGGCAAAAAAGTTGAGTACCTCAGCTTTCTCCTCATCCATTGTTACCAGTTTTCCAACATTGTAGGGGTACACTTTCTTTGACCTTCCTTTTCTGGTTAACATAGCTGTAGAAGCCCTTCTTGTTATTCTTTGTGTCCCTTAAGTTCAATTCCAGCTTTGCTTTGGCCTTTCTCACTCCATCCCAACAGAACTGAACTTTGTCCCTATACTCTTCCCAGGTTACCTGTCCTTGTCTCCACTGCCTGCGCATTTGTTTCTTTCACTTCTGTTTGACTAGCAGTTCCCTACTCAGCTGTGCTGGCCTCTTACTTTCCTTGCCCAGTTACTTGCTCCTGGGGATTCCTATCTCCTGTGTTCTGTGGAACACTTCTTTAAAGATCTGACAGCTCTATGTAATATATAATAATAAATATCTAACAATTTATAAATAAGGTATACAGATTACTAATAATATCTAGTCAAATACTATCTTAAAATATAATAATAAATATAATAATTGTGGTTTTTCTTCTTTTACTTTTCAGGTAACTGGAGTTGTGGGCAGAGCAGAGCTTTTATCATCTATTTTTTTCCTAGCTGCTTTTTTGTCATATACAAAATCTAAAGGGCCGGATAATACCATAGGTAAATGATTGACAAATAGATATATAACTTAATTTCTTTATCACTGATAACAAAGCTCTTAAAACTGTAATAGAGGTGTACTGGTTCAGCAAGTGTGTAAAAAACCCCATCAGCCCCAAGATACCCATGTAATACTGCTTTCCTTTTGTTTTTAATTCAAGACTTAGGCATTTCTTCATTAGTTTTGTAACGTCTGCAGTAGGGGACTCATGCACTGACTTTTATTATTGCAAGTTAAGTGGAAGTATGCTGAGGTGTTTCAGATGTTCAATCACAAATAAGCTGCAAAGTTTCAGTGTAAGTGAAGGAGGCTTTCCTCCTTTCCAGAGTTAAATTGTCCCTGTGAAAATTCATGACTCCCTATAAAGTATTCCATTTCTAAAAATGCTCTGGTGATTTAAGAAAGAGAGAGGTTTTTTTGTTTTCCTTATTATAGCTGTCTTTTACCTTTCATTTAGTTCTTTCAATTTAAGAGAGACAGTTTTAAAATTGATACATATGTATTATTTTCTGTAGAGTAAAACTGGTAATCTTTCCTTTACTAAGAAATTACATACTGAACAAGTTTATAAAACCTGGCATATTCAAACATGAAGAGCCAAAGTCTTCACTTTTTAGGTTAATTTACTTTATTGTATGTTTGTGTTTTTGGTAAGATGGAGCATTTTCAGTAATGTCTTCTTTATTTGCAGTGTGGACTCCAATTGCAGTGACTGTGTTTCTAGTAGCTGTTGCAACACTGTGTAAAGAACAAGGAATAACAGTGGTTGGAATATGCTGTGTGTATGAAGTATTTATTGCTCAAGGGGTAAGCTGTTGAAAAATAGAGTGGATTTCATCTCAGGAATTCTGTTATGATGCATAAAGTACTTTGAAACATCCTATTTCAGTGCTGATTTTTCTCAGTTTAGGCGAACTCAATACTTCTTTTACATTTTTCAGATTTTTTCCAAGTCAGTTAATGGTTAACATAAATGGTTCATGGTGAGGGAATCAAATGATTTCCAAGTTATCCTTTACATGCTATACAGAGATGTTAGCAAATATAGTCAATAAAGACTTAATAGGTCTTAATGGAAACCTAAGGTTTTAGTTAACTGAAATTTGCAAATACTAACATGTAACAGTCTTGATTAAAGTCTGAGGTGCATAAAGATGGGGGATTATTTGTTTTTAATCCCTCTAGTAAAAATAGAGAACACATTATATACAAATATACTTTATCATTTTCTAATGAGTAACCAGATGTTTTGGAGTAGTCCTATTGAATAAGTAATATTCTTTCAAAATTTGTTGTTAGCTGATAGGTTTCATTTTAAGCATTGATAAGCCTTTAATCGTAAATTTGCTTAAAGAAACAAGTTGTTCCTGCAATTAAATAATTTTTGGATTTTAATAGTTGAAACAAATGCAATTAAAAAATGTATGACTGCATATTAGAAGAAAATTTTGTAGTTTAAGTTAATTATTTGAAGGAATATTTTGTAGAAAATACACCAAATAAAAACTGAAAGATTATCTGTTTGGGGGATACATATTCAAGGCCAAAATACCAAAATCACATAGATGTCTTTGTAACTATTGCCTTTACAAGTCTAGTGAATAAACATACAATTTTCAAACTGGGTTTCTAAGGAAATCCTCAGTGTGTGACTGGTTTTAAATCCACTCTTCCTTTCTTTTAGTATCTTGAGATCTGATCTCAATTTCATGAAAGTTTAGTTTGTGTAAGTCCACTAAATAGGAAAGATAGAATCCAAGCTGAGGCTTCTTCTGAATGCACACGTGTCTCATGAACTTAGAATTTGACCAGTTCTCAGAAACCTCTCAGTTTCTGTAGTTTAGCCAACCAGTGTATGTGAAGCAATAAATCATCTCCAGCGGAAGTCGTGAAGACTTAGAGAAAGAGGTACACAGGGAAGAAACTAAGCCATGTAAAGGGGAATAATGAAAGATCATAATGTTATATAAAATATAACATTATTTAATATATAATATATATAATATAAAATAGAAAACCAGGGTAATCAGAAAGTGAATAGCATTTCTACCATTTGTAAGGAATTTTGTTTATAGGACAAGTTTTCAGAAGAGCTGATAATTCCAAAAATAGTGATTTTTCTTCTTGACAGTTTATATCATAGCTATGATTCATTTGTTGAAGTCTCCAAAGTTGGTACAATATTTTTGAATCTGTCAGTGCAAAATACAGAGCTCCAGGCATACAGGTTCAACTGTGGTAGTGTTAGCAAGAATACTTGAATAGAGATTATTAGAATGGTGGACTTGGTTTGGGGGGTTGTCATGAAAACACTAAGTAGCTGAATTAAGTAGCTCTTGGGAGCAGACATTTAGAGACAACTAAGGAAAAAAAATTAGGTAGCTCATATTTAAGGGAGTAATGAGTACACTGATTATAAACACTGTTTTGCTTTGCAGTACACCTTGCCAACGCTGTTGGATACAGCTGTACAGATTCTTCGAGGGAAGGGCAGTATTCCTTTCTCTATGCTCCAAACACTGTTGAAGCTCATAGTCCTAATGTTCAGTACACTGCTGCTTGTAGTTGTCAGAGTCCAGGTTATCCAGTCTCAACTTCCAGTGTTTACAAGGTAATAGTGTCTCTTATTTACAGATGCCGATAAATAAGATATGACTTAATGAGGTCTGAATGAAATGGCCAAAAAATACATCACCTTCAGTGCTATGAACTAATTTTAATATTGGTAACCAATGTCTGTACAATACTACGTTTTTTGGGAAATTGATGATATATTTCAGCACCTGTTGACAAGAATGTCCAAGGTATTGAGGTATCTGAGCAGGCAGCCTTTTTTAAAAACTTACAGTTGTAAGACTTTGTCTTGGTAATTCGTAAATTTAATGTCTTACTCCTTAGGTATTTTTTATTGTCTCTGTATGTGGACATTTGCTGAATACTTTAAACCTCTTGAGTTTTTCCTCTTCTACATGCAAAATATTTTTTTCATTTTAGTTATGTATATGCAGAAGACATGGTTGTCTTTGGATAGACTGCTTGAAGATAAGTGTATATAAATGGCATTAGAACTGAAAAACTAATTTATCCTAAGTTTGAGCAATGTAGGAATGCAAGAATCTGTTACTGTCCCTGAAAAAAATAAGACAAACTATTCAAAACATGAACAAGGGCCACTGAACTCAACCTTAGGTGTAAATCATTCTGTTTCTTCAAACTTAAGTTGATTATATCCCAAACCAGTTTCATAAACTTGGAGGCTCTGTCCTGTTCTGCAGTGAATCATTGTATGTGATTCCAAAGTCCCACACCTGACAAATGCAAAAAGATTAGGATATTGTACATGTCTGTAATTGGTAGTTCTAGCTATGAATCTGATGTTTGTCACAAAGTGAATCAAGACTACATCTTTTTTCATTAAAAGCTCCTTTTTCTCCTTTCTTTTGCTTAAGGTTTGATAACCCAGCTGCTGTTAGTCCATCCCCAGCAAGACAGCTGACTTTCAACTACCTCCTCCCTGTAAATGCTTGGCTTCTTCTCAACCCCTCAGAACTATGCTGTGACTGGACAATGGGAACTATTCCTCTTGTGGAGTCTTTGTTAGATGTTAGAAATGTCGCCACCCTGACCTTCTTTTGCTTTCTGGGAGCTTTGATTGTCTTCAGTCTCCGATATCCTGATAATTCCTCCAAGACAGTATTGATGGTATGAATTCAAGTTTTGCTTAAATCTATCAGCCAGTTGTACTGAAAATTTCTAGAAAATTCTTCTTTATTCAAAGAAACATTCCATTTCTGCAGGTTTGGTTTTGTCAGTTTTTTTGTAACTTGGAGGCCAGATATTTTGGAATAATTATTCATGTCTTTTTTTGGACCAGAGATTGGAAAGCTGCTATTTAACAGTGACCCAGGACATAAAGGAAATGGTCATGTCCACTTCCTTTGCAGTAGATGGATTTCTCTGCTTTTAATAAACACACTTTTTGATAAGAAGTCTGTCACCTACCTAAGACCTGCAGTTATGCAGTTCTTAAGATCATTGTCGCTTTAAGTATTCTAGGGTGCTCTTAACGCACTGTCTAAACACTGATGTTGATTCAGTGGCTGATTTTGGTTTTTATGTTATTTCTTCACATTTCTTACAGAAACCTAAAACAGACTGTGTTGTAATGTAAAAATAGCTGCTTTAGGCATCATATTGATTGATAAAAATTTTTAAGTGTTGTAAAACACAATGTCCAAGGTTCTTAGACTGTCTTATTTTTGTATCTGGAACTCTTATTAAAACATTGTTTTGAAATTAATCTTTTGATCCTAGTGATTTGTCATACAGCTACTCTTTTCTATAGCATAGAAAAGTGAATAGACTTGTAAACCCTTAAATAAGGAGTAGAATCATTTGCAGGTTACTACTTGCCATATTCAGAGATGTCTCCATGTAAAACAGATCTTACTGCTGAAAAGAAAAACAGCCAAATATCTACTATCTATGTCTGTTTTTCTGGGATTATTTTTGTAGTTAGTATGTAATTTGTTTCCTGGGTAGAGTTTGTCACCACCTGATCTTGATTACTAATGCCATTTGCATTTATTTTCTAGGCACTCTGCTTAATAGTGCTACCATTCATTCCTGCATCAAACCTGTTTTTTCCTGTTGGATTCGTAGTAGCAGAACGAGTGTTGTATGTTCCTAGCATGGGATTCTGCATTTTAGTAGCACATGGATGGAGGAAATTATCAAATAAAAGGTAAGGTGGTGTTACCTAAAACTAGTTTAACTCATCTCTTACTTTCACAGAAGATAACCATTTATAACTACAAGATTTCCCATTAGAGCTTTTATCAGTATGAATTTATTACATTATAGCTCTTACTCTGTTTCAAGTTCTTAATGACCGCAGAGTAATGACCAAGAAACCATTTCACAGTTATGTGAACAAACAACAGTAAGGAAGTTCTTAGGCAACTGGTGGGTTATCCTGACAGTGTTATAAAATTTATTTAAAAGATATACAAATATATCTATATACACACACAAGTGCATAATATATTTTTTATTTTATATATGAGCATACATGTATACATAGAAAGAGCCTCAGCCTGCACCAAACCTTTTTAGAATGCAGTGTACCTTATATTACACATTACTACAGAATAGACTTTACCTATGATCCTAGTAGTATAACCCATCTCTCTTCTGTAAAAGAAAATATTTTCTGTTTAAGTCCTAGATGTTTTTAAGGATTAGGCAAAAAGTATTTCTTGGCCAGATTTAATTTATACTCTATTCTGGTGACTACTGACTGAAGTTTATATAATGTGTGTGCATCAGCAAGTTAAAATATCTTTTGTTGATTAAATTTTCAGATATGCTGTGCTAGGATTGGCTATCAGAACCATTCAGTATTTGCTAAACTAAAGAATTCTTTGGATAACAATTTCTCCTTACGAAATTCTGCTCTAAAAGCGTTTTTTACACATGCTTTTGTTTTTTCTGGTATCTTCTACATTGATCTGCACAAACCTCCCACTGCACAAGCCTGGATGCTTTACCCTTATTAATTACCCTGATGGTATCCTAATGCTAGTTCAGACAAATGGAAAGGCAGCAATTCACAGTCCTGTGTTGTCTGCTATCATAAGAGCTGAGGCCTGGCAGTATCACTTATGCCAACGGGTGCTGCTGAAGCTGACAGCACCTGCATAATGAGAAACTAGTGATACCTTGTGGGAGTGAGGAGAAAGTATTCTCACAAATCCCACTACAAGGCAGTAAAAATAGAAGTGATTTGAAAGAAAGCAAGGAACCAGGAGAAGATGGCTGGGGAGAAAAATCAGGCAGCAGTGTCATTTACTACAAAAATACTGGGGATCAGCACTCTAAAAAGTCTTATGAGAGAGAGAAGATTCCTTGCTTTAGAAATATGTGGAAAGAAAAAGTTTTCTTGTAAGTCTGATGGGCATATAGATTACTGTATATGCCAGTTCTCATTGATCACTTTGCTAGTGTTTAAGAATTTCTCGCTTACAATTTTACAGTTCCACTTTTTTAGTATTTTTAAAACCAGTCACGGTAGTCTAAGTCTGTACAGCATTTTGTATATCTTAAAAAGTGGAGGGAAAAAAAACCTTTCAGTTTTTAGCAAACCCCTGTGAAGTATGTAGTGGTGTGAACAACCATTGCATAAGTCAAGTATAAAAAATAACTGTTCATACTGAACAACTGTATGTCCTCTCGAGAATTACATTTCCTTAAAACAAAATTATAATTGTAGGAAGGCTACTGAGTGTTTGACATGTTTTTTCATAATGAAGTTAGAATTCAGAAACAAAATTATCAGCATGTTAAGGCATATGTTTTATATGTTATGTTTAAACTCCAGAAAAATAAACTGCACAAAATCAAGATTATTCCTGACAAGCTTACCATAGAGGATGACTTCTGCCCCAATTTGCAGCTTTAAAAATAAAATCACTAGAAAGACATTAAACCTTTCTCCTATTTAGATATTACAGTAGCACTAGGATTATATTTGTTTATGGAAGATTGCATAGCCTCCACTTACCTCTCTGTTAAGATGTATTCTGCAGTGGCAATGTGTGCAGTAAAAAACCTGTGTGGAATTGTCTGATATGAAACAAAAGGATGGGATGATATTTTAGTTGCTTTTTTTATTTTTTAAAATTTTGTATAGTTTTTTGGAGAACCTCACGTTTTGCCATCGTGTTTATTGTTTTAAATTACAGCTAAGTTTTAACAGATGTATAATTTTTGTATATTTTTGTATACATTCTATTATGTGAATTTCATTTGTTCTTAAGGGAATTACATAGTCATAACAAAAACATCAGGTAAAAACCAAAATTAATTTGAAATTAGGCATTATTTCCTTTCAAACTCTAGAGTGCGCCATTCACAAATGTGGTTCTTGGTTTGTTTGCCTTAGCATGAGATATTTAATTAAGATTAGAATTGTTTGTGTGCTTACAACAAATCTTTGTTTTATTTAATAGCGTGCTAAGAAAAATTTCTTGGGTTTGTTTGGCTGCGGTACTATTCACTCATGCCTTAAAAACACTGCACAGGAACTGGGATTGGGAGTCGGAGTACACCTTATTTATGTCAGCTTTAAAGGTACTGTATTCTATTTGGAAAGGATAATGGAAAGTTTGTTGCTGTTATAAAGCTGCAGTAGAGCATGATAAAAATGGAGAAAAATTATGCTTATTTTGGCACATTAATTTCTATGTTGACAGTATTGACATATAATCAGTTGCTTTGGGGAATGCTTTAAAAGAAGTGTCATGCGCACATGGGAATTCTCATGCGAGAAATAGATGGTAATTTTTCTTGTCTGGATCAAAGCAAGATATGTTTCAGTACAAAAATCTGCTAAAAGGTTGATTCATAGAATAATGTCTTTAAAGTTCATATGGCATGATAAGACAGTTTGTAAAAGATCCTATAACAATTACAATGAATGTTATAATATTTGGTATTTCTAGGGCCAAATAACTAAAATAAATTGATGTTGAGCAACAAGTTGAATGTAATCATTCTGGATATAGTGTTTTGTTATCCTTTACATATAGAAACTTCATGAAATCAGTCATTTGCTGTGCATTTTTATGTCTTAAGACATAGATAAGAAAAAATCAATTGCCATGTAATTTCTGCTTAATACCTTATGCATTGATATCTTTTTTGTGGTTTTAGGTAAATAAGAATAATGCAAAACTATGGAACAATGTGGGGCATGCATTAGAAAATGAAAAGAACTTTGAAAGAGCTTTGCAGTTTTTCATACAGGCCACACAAGTGCAACCAGGTAAAAGCTTTAACTAACTACCATTGAATGTCATCTCTGCACTCCTAGTATTTCAATATGCTTAGCTTAATTAGCATCTTCTCAATGATCTGTTTTTCTTAAACTGAACATCAAACAATGTCATATAATAAATTAATTGGTCCATAGTTTTTGGAAATAATCTAAAAAAGTCCTTCAGAAAAAGTTTCTATCTATAAAAAGATGCAAAAACTTATGATTAAAAGCTATTATTTGGATGACATTCTTTTTGAATTAACTTAAACTGTAATTTCTTATGGAGGCTACTTATTACTTCATTTTCTTATTTAAAACTAAGGACGTCTGTAAGAAAGTGAAAAAATCTAGATAACATCAAAGTACATATTTAATCTATTTTACATATTGTTGCAAAAGAAGTTCTAGATAGTACTGGACCATCTTTCCTTTTTCCTTTTAGAAGTCTAATAAATAACCTTCAATTTATGTACCTCTATTATAGCAAGAAATTAAAGATAGATACCTGGAAGTATGATATGACCTCGAACTTTTTACAGTTTCCTAAGTAACTTTATAATCCCTCCTTAGTTCATGGCTAAACTATTAGCTTCATAATTAAGATGAAAAATTATATAGAATTGGATTTATTTTTTTTTTGTGATGGTGGTGGTCTATGCAGAGTACCTGTACTTCACACTACTTTGAAGGCAGAGGTGTTTATTTTCACGATACTCAGTGCATGGAAGTATTTTAGATTTCATTCTTTTCTTCATTAAGATGATATTGGTGCCCACATGAATGTAGGAAGAACTTACAAGAACCTAAACAAAACTAAAGAAGCTGAAGAATCATATATGATTGCTAAATCATTGATGCCACAGGTCAGTATAACTTTATCTACCACCACAGGAGAGAACCTATATTCATTATACATTTTTTGTATTTTTCCTGTAATTTTGTGTGGCTGTAGTCTTTAAAGTTTCTCAGGGTTTTTTTAAAACTGCTATGAGAAGAATACAATCATGGCTGTTAAAAAATGCTAATTGAGAATTCTGTTAAAATTGTTTTGATTTGCTTTTTATAATACTGTGTTGTGGGTTTTTTTCCTGAAATTGAGGATGTAAAAGAAAGCAGCATCTAAAAATGTACACCTATAGTTTCTGGTGACAATAGGTCTATTTTCAATTACAGCTAATACATTCATTGATGGTGACTGAGTTTGAGCCCTCAAGGCTTAAATACATTATTGTAGGTTCGAGAAAGTAGCCAGAGCAGCAACAAAAAAATTGTTGCCTTAACATGCTTTTATAAACATGCTTTGTTACCTTTACCATTTGTTAAGTTATTTTTATAGCTAGCAAATGTTACTTGTTCAGCTCTTTAGGAGGAAAACAGAGAAGTATTTTGGAGAATGTATGAAGGTTACAATGAGACTAACAACAAAAATCAGCAGCCCCTTGACTAGAAGCATGGCATTCAGAAGTTTATATTGTGAATCAGTATGAAGACTCCAAATGGATGAAGTATAAACATTACAACCGTTGCAATGTCATAGCATTTTTATCTTTCCTGACTACTTTTCATTTGCTATATCAGTGGCTGGTAAAATCTTACTTAAACACTTACCTTAGGCTGAAGGGTTATTAAAAGGAATGGTAATGTTTGATAGAATGTCAGTTTAGGCATTAGGAAATATTTTTTGTCTGAATAGGGAAAGTTTTGCAAGGTCTGATTGGTTTCTAATGGCTATCTGCATGAGCCCAGTTAGGTAGTAGCAGAGCTTAGTTACCTGATACCTTAAATATGATATAAGTCATCTGTGTCTTCATACAAATAAAGAATAAAAAATACTCTTGTTTATATTGGGGTATGATTTTCCGGGAAAGAAGAATTGCTTTTTGTAATCATTAAGAGCCTGCACACTAATGTCCAGTAGTACCCTAAAACAAATGTGGCAGAGTAAAGAGGAGTTCTATACTGATCGTCTTTCATATTTTTACCCATTTGTGCTTGGTACATATCTTCTCTTTGACAGATTATTCCAGGTAAAAAGTATGCAGCAAGAGTTGCTCCTAACCATCTGAATGTTTATATCAATCTTGCAAACTTAATTCGAGCAAACGAATCTCGCCTTGAAGAAGCAGATCAGTTGTATCGACAGGCAATTAGTATGAGGCCGGATTTCAAGCAGGCTTACATCAGCAGGTATATTTTCTAATTTTAGAGATATGTATTCTTGAATAAACATTTTTGTATTTACAGTGTTATGGACAGTATTTAGTTCATACAGTTGACTTAGCTGCTGGATTTGCTTCATTTCCAAATAAGATGATGATTTGGGACAATTATCAGTTATTCATTAAAAACCCTGTTCTTTTAAATTCCTACTTGAAATGGCATGTTTCCACATAGGTTTTGTATTCAAACATTGTATAGCAAGACACTTCCATTAGCTTTCTTTATGAATCTCTAACTGAAATTTCCAATCTCCTAGTTTAGTTTTGAACTGAAAAACTTTTGGTTAGTCTGAATCATGGAACTTTCTTTGTGCTTCTTTGTTAAAGATTGTCCAGAAAATGCAAGAATTAACTATTTAACTGATATTAGTGTACTTTTTAGTTAAGAGTCCCAAATCTTCGTTTGCGAAGCCTAGCCATGATGAGTTAAGAGTAATGTGAATATGGTTACTGAGGCTTCTGTTCTCTATTTAGTTTGTTGTGATCCCATTGGGACTTAGGGTGGTGCAAAATGGCTAAACTATAGCTGCTGCAGTGTAATTAAAGAGCTGAATCAGGAACCCTTGATCACTTTTTTTTGTTTTCCTGCTTATGCATTTGTTGTATACAGACTTCGGAGACCTGAAAGCTTTAGAAATGTTATGTAAATAGGATCTTGTATTGTTTTGTGTTTAAAACAAACAATAGAAAAAACACTGTCATCTCACATCTACTGTCTATAGGAAGGCAAACGTTTAAAGAAACCTGTCAATTATTTTCATATGGTTTTGAATAAAAGTTGAAAGTTCAATCTGGTTCTTTAACAGGGGAGAATTACTTTTAAAAATGAACAAACCTCTGAAAGCTAAGGAAGCTTACCTTAGAGCTCTAGAACTAGACAGAACCAATGCAGACCTGTGGTACAACTTGGCAATTGTTTACATTGAACTGAAAGATCCAGCAGAAGCTCTGAAGAATTTCAACCGAGCACTAGAACTCAACCCAACGCATAAACTGGCGTTATTCAACTCAGCACTGCTAATGCAGGAATCTGGTATGTTAATTGTCCCTTTTATAATTATTGCATATTTGCATTTATAGGATCCATACTATTTAATTTTTTTTTTAATTAACTTTTTTATTTTTGGAAAGGAGAAGTACATAGCATCATCAAAAAAGAAACTGTATATTTATAACAGCTTTGTAATTTGTAGTGTATAGAATTTGTCCAAAGTGTGCATACACCTTAGCTGATCAGCATCTTTAATAAAAGTGCTATTTTACAACGTCTTATACATATAAAGAGTAGTGTTACACAAACATCTTCAAAACTGTGCCTATATAATCTTAAAAAATAATATTTAGTAAAATGTGTAATATCTATGTTTTGCATTTATAGTGATTGATTTAATTATTGACTCAGAAATATAGCTGACTTCTGTGGGCTTATGTCTAGCTCCAGAACAGTGAATGCATTCGTAGGTTCCTCTGTGCTACTGCTAATTAAGATAATTCAGTTGGATTTTCATGAGTTTATTTTTTTCATGAGTGTAGCTTCTAGCTCTGTGGGTAAGGGTAAGTGTGAGCCTTTGGTGAATTAAGGCGGTTGCAAAGAGTATTTGGCAAGTGAACTGGTAGAATTTTTTTTCCCCCTCTAAGAAACAGAGGCCAATTGATAATTTTTCATCTCTTCGCACATTGTAAGTTGAAGACATGCATTGTTCCTTGTCTGTAGAAGCACAGGTTGCTTCAAACAAGCAGAAGCATTAACGATCTAGTATTCAATTTTTCATACTGAAAAGTGCAACACTGTTTCAGGAGGTTGAAAGAGGACAGTTGAAAGCAGCTCCTGATCCTTCAGTAAGTTTGGGACTGAAATTCTTTACTAAAATATGTTCACTGGCTTATTCAGTAAAATAGTGCAGGCCACAAGCTCATCTAGCCAATCCTGGTATATGGAGATAAAATTGTTTTACTATATCTTTTTCAAACTTTGATGCAAATTAAAATATGGGAGTTACAGATTTTATTGTTTTGGGTTTAGAAGATATTTTAGCCTGGTTACATTAGAAGTCACCCTATGTGATCTCTGTCTAAATTTTTTCAGTCTGTCTTTCATAAAATTAGATCTGCTCAAAGTTTGGCTCTGTAAGAGCTGGTTTGTCAGAACTGACATCTGCTCTACATTCCATTTGCTAAACTCTGCATGAAAATAACTTTTTTTAAACTTATAGAGACACCTTTTGTGTCTGTTGTACCAAACCTAAATACTATTCAACAGCTAATAGAGTAATGATGCTGACTTTGGCTACAAATCAACTGCACATAGTTTCATTCTGTAAAGAAGGTAGATGTCTTTTATTTTTGCTGTTACACAGCAATGATAAAAAATAGCATTTTAAACCCTTTCCCTTTTACAGTTGCATTTTATGTTGTATAAAGATTAGCCTTTCACAGGCCTGGTCTAAAAGTCCTTCAGAATAAATGTAGAATTAAATGTTTTTTCCATCATTTAGGTGATGCTCGGCTTAGACCTGAAGCTAAACAAAGACTGTTACATTATGTGAAAGAAGAACCCCAGGATGCAAATGGATACTTCAATTTGGGTATGCTGGCAATGGATGATAAAAAAGATATGGAAGCAGAGGCATGGATGAAGAAAGCCATAAGGTTACAGCCAAACTTCCGAAGTGCTCTGTTCAATTTGGCACTGCTTTATTCTCAGACAGCAAAAGAATTGATGGCTTTGCCCGTCTTGGAAGACCTACTGAGATACTACCCTGATCATACCAAAGGTCTGATTTTGAAAGGAGATATCCTTATGAACCAAAAGAAGGATATTGTTGGAGCAAAAATGTGTTTTGAAAAAATTTTGGAATTGGATCCCAACAATGTACAAGGAAAGCATAATCTTTGTGTGGTTTATTTTGAAGAACGAGACTTAATAAAAGCAGAAAAATGTCTGGTTGAAACACTAGCACTGGCACCTCATGAAGAATATATTCAGCGTCATCTAAACATAGTTAGAAGTAAAATTGCGTCGCTCAGTGCTATGGAACAGTCATCACTTCCATCAGAGGGAACTGCAGCTGCAGAAGAAAAAAAAAAATCATTTCAGAATTTGAAAGAAGTAAAAAATGAGAAGACAACCACCCAATCAGCAGTTGATAAAAATAAGGAACACTCAAAAAATAAGAAACTGACAGAGAAAAACAGTGTGGACAAAGAGACTCCCAAAAAATCTACGAAAGAAATCAAAGACATTGAGAAAAAGAGAGTTGCTGCTTTGAAAAGACTTGAAGAGATTGAACGTATATTAAATGGTGAATAGACTTTATCATGTCACAAAAGAATAAGGGGAGAATACTATTTTTAATTATTGTTTAATTTGTAAGCCAATTGGAAAGTGTTCTCAGTGCTTTGAAAATAGAAATAATGTTGACTACATATCAGTTATCAAGCAGCAAAAGACATTACAATGTTCTATATGAGAAAACTGCAACTTTTAAATATGATGGAGGGATGGGTGGGAATCAAAGGATAAAAGGTTGAGAATAATCTTCAATGCAGAACCCTAAAAGTGAGGAAATAGCACTCATAAAAATCATTGGTAGTCAGGGATATTAAGTAATGCTACTTTCAAAGAATCAGTGGAAGAGCTTGAATGGAGAATTACCAGGATAAGCCAGACACTGCTTCTTTCCCCTATACAGATCTCTTTGTACTAACATTATCTACATTTCGGTTTACACATCATCAGTTAAAATTTTTCTAGACCTCTGTTACACAAGAAAAACTGTTTTTCTTTGCGTTATTTGTTTCCGGAACTTAACAAAAAGTCATCAAAATGCCACTGACTGTAGTATAGGAAGATGCAACAACACACTAAAACTTTCAGTTGCATTCTGAATATGGAATGATATAATAACTTTTTAGATGTTCTTTACTTACAATGCTAATGGTTTTTAATCTTTTACCTGACAAGAAATCTTATGGTGCTCTTAACATCTTTAGACTAAGCTTTTTCTTTTAAAAGAAATGTGTTTTTTTTCTTCAACTGTCAATCATGTAAAATTATACTAAAAAGGATGGGTTTGTCACTTTTTCCCCAGTTCATTGAATTCTGATAAATGCACTTTGGTACAGTAACCAGTATGCTATGCAGTACTCCTTGTTGACTTTGTATCAATGGCTGCGGATTGACTCCTTAGTGTAGTAAATTCTTCCTTGTTTTATCTGGTTTTACTATTTCTGCCATTGGAACAGAATTTCTATTCTCATGACTTTTTACAACACTAATATAAGCAATGATTGCTGAAGGAAGTGTGATAATAATTAAGCCAACTGAACTTAGCAATGTTTAACACAAGGCAATGTAGGTAGTGTCCTTTCAAATACTGAGTTTTGTTGTTTTGATACTTTGTCTTGGGTGTGTGGTTTTTATTAAATATTTATTTTGACTACTAAAATATTTCCATTTACACTTTTTCACTAATGCATCATTTTAATTTCTTATATGAAATGAATATCTTTGCAGTTTCAGTGTTGCTTTTATTCTTTTGCAATGCATATATTTTTTTTTCAAATATACTACCGATTACCTAAACCCAATGTTTTCCTTAATTCTGAGAAAGAAAAAAAAGAAAAGAAGTGTAAGAGCTGGGTTCATTAGTAGTTTCATTAATCATTAAATCTAACTTACTCTTTATGTTTCGTCTTATTTCACAATGTGGAGGTATTCCTTAACAACTCTACTCCTGGAACTTAATCCTTTGCATACTTGCTCAGTTTTCTGCTTCAAGCAGTAATCCAGCTGTAAGATGTAATTATTATCTCTGTGGGAGGGATCTGAAATGGTTAAAGGCCTTCCTTGCATGGACCTTTTCTTTGTTATGTATCATTCATAATGTTAGCACAACAATTGCTTGCATGGTAATAACCGGGGGGAAAAAAGTGGGGTTTACAAAACATGATTTACAAGCAGCTGACAGGAACAAGTGCATGGTGTGCAACTGTTCATCATACAAAAAACTGACGTGCTACTTGTAGTGAAGTGCTCACAGGAATCTGTTAACCACACCTTGAAAATCACTTGTCTGTGAATAACTCAAATACTTGTAACTAAAATAGCTGCTATGTTGACCTTTATAGAAACTTTAACTTGCATATTAAGTCTTCCTGCAAACCTTTGTTTTGCAAAAGGATTAGTCATTGTTCTGCACAATATGAAGGAATGTTCATTTGAAAATGGCAGGAACTAAGTAGTATGAAAAGGTACTTTCTGATAGAGGAGATCAGGATTCTTCCCTCTTCTATATTAAGAGCTCCTAGAATCCTACTGTCACCATTTTTATTTGGTCTCTGAATTGAAGGGGGGAGGAAAGACACATTCTTGATTTCTGCATCTGAGCCTCTGTCATGCTGCTCTCATCTTGACCATCCAAGTGGCTCTTTAGGGACTAGCCAGAACTGTTAGATTTATTGACGCTAAGAAGTGCCATCAGGTTTACCTAAAATCACCAGGTGAATGTAAATGGAAGGATGCTGGATGTCTTTCAGTCTGTTACCAGGTATTATTTCCCCTTTGTCTCTGTTAAAGAAGTTTTAGTAAAAACAAGTATTTTTGCTAACATCAATGTACTGAGTTGTATTTAGCCTGTTAGGATGTGTCGGCCATTTTAAAATTAAGCTGTCATGAGAAAAACTGTTCAGTAAATGGAAGTGGCATAACTTGTGAAAAATAGTCAAAATAGCATTTGTGCATAGGAAAATTATCAAAGAGAGAATAGATTCATTTTTGTCTGCTTGCAGGTAAAACAGAATAATCAACAGGTGTTTCTCCCCTTCCAGTTCAACTTATCCTTTCTTCCCTCCCTACCATCATCATGTGCAAGAACACTATAAATGTCATCCCTTTTCGGAACTCCCAGTTTCACTAATACGCAAGAATTAGGAATTTCTGAGAGTGGGACAGGCATACTGAAACAACTTGTACCCCTCTTACCATAAAATGCAATTGCTGTGGTTGCTGAAAAAACCTGAAAAGATGTCTTCTATCATCTTTGCATACATACACAAAATTATTCAAACTTACCTGTACAGCTGCAGTAAGCATTTTAGGTGTTACACACGTTTGTGCATGCAATTTCAGTACAGACTCATGCATTTGTCAGATTAGATTTTGGATCTTTTGCAGGTGAGTATATGCATAAAGAGAGAGAAACTCATAAACATATGGATTAATTTGATATGCATGCATATATTTGGGACACTTTAATACTTACAGGTAGTGCAATTGCAGAAAGACAACATGCAAGTGTAGGTTAACCTTTGAGTATAGAATTTTTTTTGTCTCTTTTGCCCATGAAACATCCTAGGACTTAATTTTCTAAGTATTGCAAGTATTCTTTATTTTCAAAATATTATCGTTTGTATTACAACTGGTTAAAAACATGATTGGTCAGATCTCTTTTTTTTTTAATTGTCTATTGTTTTTTATCAGCTGCCAGTGAAGTAGTCTTGTCTTGTGAAGACCGGGAAATATTTTCCTACAAAAAGGCATGTACAAAGTGTTGGAGAATGGAGTCAAAGGATTAAATGGGACAGAAAATTTGTTGCATCGTGCAGTGCAGTTTGTACCTTGATTAGGCAATACTGGAAGAGATAAAGTCAAGCTAGGAGTAGGCATAGAGGAAGATTGCTGTGAATTGAGAGTTTCATATAAAGAAAAGAAAACATGCAACACCTGTGCTGCCAGAGCCTTTAGCTGAAAGAAGTAGGAAGTTTTAGATTTATGCTCAGCTGTGGAGACTTGCTGACCTGCACCTTATTCTTGGAACCTAACAGTAACTTCTGTATATTTATAAGGAAAATTACATGTTAAAATCTTAGGTAAGTGGGTCTTGGCTTCAGCCTGGGAAATAATACCTGCATAGCTTGTAAAACCTACAGAGACTTCTCATCCAACTTGTCATTCCCCACTGGCTCTGGCATGAAGCAGACAAGTTTGGAAGATCCCACTCAAGGGGGCACAGGTTTGTTCTGTGCCCGTGGGATGCAACAGATGCACATGTTCTTTGTTTTCTGGGAGTTACAACAGTATGGTTTCTGAGTTCCCTCTAAATGTGTTTAAATTGCAGACAACAGTAAAGTGTGTAACTTTACCTTCATTTAGCACAGCTGGCTAAACCATAGGCTTGGGGGATATGCAACCTCATGTTTAATGGGATTTCAAAGCAAAGCAGTGAGAAAAGTCAGTTTGCTGAAAGAGGAGTAAGCACTCACAAAGCAAAAGCTCCTGAAACATTTTGGCACTATGCATGTAGGTTGTCCATCGCAACATATCAGCAGCTTTTCTTTCCTTGCAGCTGTTGGTCAATCCAAGACCAAGGGGCACTGAGAGCAGCTCTTCAGGCCCGGTCATTCAGCCATCTGCCTCTCTCGTCAGATGAGGTTTTTGCAAGACCTAGCTGTGCTTTGTAGATTTAAAGCTGCTCACATACCTTCTTCCAGGGTATGGAACTTTGTGCTGAACATGCAGGCATCTGTTCCTTCCTGAAGTTTCTTTTGGAAAGACTCAGTGAAGATCAAAACAATTCTGGGAAGTTAGCAGCCCGCCCCAGGCTCTCGCAAACTTTGGGTTGCACAAGAGCTCCAGGAAGGGTCCCAGTTTGACTAAGTGTACATGGCTGGGCTTTTTCTTGAAAGTTCTGGAATCCACCTCTGCCTGGCACAATGTCTGGAAGTACAGCAGAACCTGCTACTCCTGTAAAGTACTGCTTCAGCTGCTGCTGTGTAACCAAAATTATGCTTTGACTTTCAGCCTAGGAATCCTGCTTTGCTTAGACAGAAAGCTTGAGAATGGAAAGGCTGGAAAACACCTTCCACCCATCCTTCACCTCATTTCCTCTCCCTTCAAAAATGTAACATTCTGTGTAGTGTTCCAACTGAGCAAGAAGAACCTGTCCCGCAAACCTCCAACCTAGTTTACAAAAAGGTAAGATATTCCTGCTCGAGTTCAAAATAACATAGCTTACTATATTACATCCATTATAATGCTTCTTTTTTTAAATAATCCTAGATGGATATGACATTATTTTTATAGCATTGAGTAAGTGGTAATGCAGCTAATATTCTTAGAAAAAAACTGCTCTCTGCGGTCTAGTGCCTGTCTACAAATTAGTGATTCTGCATGTGCGTTATATGTCTCTCGTGAACAGCAAGAAGTCATACACACATCAACTCACAAAAAACAAGAGTAACAAAACCAAACCAAAACTGAAAAAAAAAAAAAAAAAAAAGAAAAAAATCACAGAACTTTCTGCATGATTATCCTGGTACAGGAATGACATAAAAAGCTATATAACTTTCTTGGCCTGTGAAATCATCCTGGAAAAACACATTTAACCTTCCCTTGCAGTCATACTTTAAAAAAAAACTGCTGGAAAGAGAATTGGACTTTATGGATACCATTTACTCTGAACTAAGGAGTTCTGTTTAAAATAAAATATTAATATAATGTTATTACTCCAGCATAATGCAAACAACTGTTAGCTGCTACATCTTTACCAGTATAAGAAAGATACCATAAAAGTGAGTAAAAGGTCCCTGTTCAGCTTGTGTTCTCACCAGTGCTTACAGAACTGTAAATGTCTTTTGCTAAACATTCATACAGAAGCACTGACTTTCTTTACAGTGAGTTTAGAGGTTACCTGCTTACTTGGGTGAACTCAGCCTTTTGCAGATGTTGACAGAAACAGAGAAAAATCAAAACACTTGGGATTGGTGGGGCTTTGCATGCTAGACTAGACCTTGGCATTGTGGAAAAATGTATATATACTTGGCAAAATTTTAGTTACTGGTAGGTCAATGTAGCAGGCAAATCAGTGTATTTGATATAGTTTTGGAGGGTGATACAACTCAAAAGCTTTATATGAGTCTATGAATTCTTTGTCTTTTCTACACAGTAACTGTTGGAAATGTGAAGCCTTGAAGGATTCCATATAGAGCAGAAGTGAGCACTGCAATAAAGCACGCTGTTCAGATATCCTACACCTATTTAGCATGTATGTTTGTTCCTTACATGTAATTATCAAGGTATTGCTTTTTTAAATAGACATAGCAAGGTATTTTTAATTATATGTGTATTCATCTACGCACAATGAGAGTAGGTGGAGGAGGAAAGTACAACAATTACAGGATGTCTTACCAAAAGTAGAAGTCATAAATCTTGATTTTTAAAATACCATCTTGAACATGCATTCACCTTTACAATTTTTAACCCAGTCCTGCACTTGTGTTGTACGTGAGCATCAGTCTATAGCACCGACTGCCCAGTACCAAGAGCTCAAATGAGATTCTGACAGCTGGTGCTTATAGAGAAGGGAATTAGTTGTTATCACTTCTCAGCCTCGGGGTGAATAATCAAGGCTTGCTTGTTTGTTTGGGTGGACTGCTCATTTCATCTACAAAAATATCAGTCATTATGGATGATTATGTCAGTTTACAAGATATAGTACTTTCTCTGTTGATAAAAGAAGTGCAAAGGGAGCTTTTGAATACCCTTCCTGCCCCCTTGAGTAAATTTTAAACAGATCTGGAATGCTAGGCTTTCTTCAACTCCAAACATATATCAGTTTTCCACAATAAATAGCTACAAACAAATACATAAAGACAATGGAAAGGTATGTGAAAGCTTAAATCTCATGA